CACGTGAAAGCACTTCGGTAGGAATCCGTGTCGCGCTACGGAAATCAGTTTGTTTACATTGGGGTGATTTAAGATAGCTCTCGTCAGAATGGGTTACATCGCATTGCGCGTCATGCTAGTGAGGTGGATAGGCCTGCAGCTACAGCGCTATGAGCCGTCAACCGTTTTGCAGATTTTCGTGACAGTTGCTTTCTTATGAGCAGGGGGAAAATTCCCTTCGCTGAGCGACCGACAAAATACTATATAGTTATTTTTCGCCATTGTGAGCGACATTTCTCCAATAATTACATTTCCGAAGAATATATGGGACGTCGTTTCCCAGTCACCTCGAAAAATATAGCCGTCTATCAACTTCTCCGGGTCGGAGAGGTTTGGTGGGGCAGGTTTAATCTCTTTAGGTTACCAGCGCGTTTTGACCGGAAGTGTTTTGTATCTTTCTTCTGCTTCCGTTAAAACATTGCATAAAGATTTTTTTAATACTGTAAGCTAGAAAAACGTGCACCCGTACATTTACGCGCAAAACGCCGTGGTCACGTGCGTCGGGTTTCATCTCTGATTTCGCTCGAACTTACAGCATTCATTCGAGAGATTCATGTGCTAACGCTGCTATCGTGACATTCCAGACTCTTTTCTGATTTTATTATATGTGAGAATTGTTCGCAAGAATACCACTGGACCGCCAGTATTGGATTGCTATTTATTTACTGAACTGGGTCGATGACGAATTATTTTAAAGAGAACAATTCTTGGTGAGTCTGTCCCATCTATCCACTTTATTATTGTATACCCAATTCAGTGCTATTATTTTTATTATTTTGCTACACACTATCAGTGAAGTAGCTTTTTGTGTAGCCAGACCACCTCAGACCAGGGAAGCATTCCTGTAAAAGTTCCATATGGTCACTGTTGAGTTCGGCTGCACCTTCAACGAGTATTTCTTTTGGTGACATTCATAAGAGGCTCGCTTTCGCATGGTGCCGCCGTTTGAATCTAACGGTACCCTGTTGTTTGGGCGACCTTTATGTAGGCTGTCTGATCACATACGTATTATTTTTGTTTGTATGTACTCCCAGATATTCCACGAAAAGCTTGACCAAGTAGGCACGGTGGACTTTTTTGGTACACTGGTGTCGGGTGTGTGGCTTTGGCTAAAGGGTCGTGAGAGGCGAATTCGATATAGTGAGTACTCGGAATGACTCTTTCCTTGATACATTCTGTACCGTAAGTAAGGCTAAATTTAGAACCACAACTCGTGTTATTGTACAGCTAACACTGTCCTAAGCTGAGGTTCCAAAAAGCAGTCAGCATTGCTTCTTCATCTGTGTTATTCAGGCTAAAGCCGAATGCACACACGCTCCGAAATCTTACAAGTGCTTCCAGTCCCCACGGATTCAGTCCTGCAATCTAGCCTTGACCTTGAGGGGATGTTGTTTGAATAGGCCACATCGTAGGTCAAACAAGGCGACCACCTTTCAACTTTTTGCCGGAAAGATGTTGGTTCCTGGAAGTTATTAAATTCTTTACTCCTTAGGAGCCTTGGAATGCGTTGGTCATGGATGCGAACACTTCAGAAGCCAGACGATGTCAAACCTGAACACGTGTTGCTGGTTTATAGACTGGAAAAGCCGAACTGCAAGTTGGGAGAGTGTGAGTAAGTCAGCACATTGTCTGGCGTCATTCCACTGTCCATTTCTTTCGCGAGGTTTTCATTATGAACGCGATTTTTTAGATTTTGATGCAGTCACAGTGTGTGAGGCGGGATTAATAGTTCACGTTTTCATTTTTGGCGTCACAATTCTGCTGCTTGCGAACGTGTTCGTCTTTGGAGGCACTCAACTCCGGTACCAGCTGCTCATTTCCATAGCCATTGACCCAAACATCGCTATTGTCATCGAGGTGTGTGAATGTTTAGGCGCTCAACTGGTGAGTGCCATTCAATCAACCTCAGCGTCTACAAAAAAAGACATGTTAGCCCATCCCATGTCTTTATATGTGGGGCAACCTGTTTAATCAGCATCCTGTGGTCGTGAAACGCGTGTTTCCCATGGATTTATGCGTTGCACCCGTGAAGCTAAAGTGAGGGCTAGATTGAAGGTGCTACAACCCACCTGGTAGGTAGTTGGTTGTGGGATGGCTCAGTGGTTAGAGCGCGAATTTCATAACGGGGGAGGGGTTCGAAACCGACCGCTACCTCTCGACTTCCCCTGTCTAGGCTTGGACAACCTGGCACTACCTCAGCCCTCGTGATTCCTTCTGGTGTCATTGTAGTTGCTACAGCTGAACAATTTTTTATATAGTTGGGTTTGGTAGAAAAACGTGTTTCTGGTAGACGGATCGGTAGAACTATAGGCAGAATAGTTTGGATACCTCGATCAAGAAACCTTGTCGAGAATGTAGAAACGTCAAACAGCGCCATGTGATACTAAGGCATGAGCCGTTGGACCCCATACAACAGACCAGTAGGTCATCCTATCGTGTCACAAAGATTCATGTGGTCCAGAACGCTCAACAAAACAGACCTTACAAACGGATCCGGTTTCTGTTTCCCTTAAAATGTGGGTCTCGACAGTGACGATGTCTAAGTATCACTGCCCAGAGCGGTCAAATGTTCTAATTGAGAAGTCGATTTCGAGCCACTAAAGTTGGTTGTGGCTTTTATTCGCCTTTTTCGAATGCTTTCAACTGCTCACAGTTTTCCTTAGTGAAATCAGTTTCCCAACGTAAGGAGGGCTGTCATGACTACCCTATGTACCTTTTTGGCTTTCCGTTCATTATGAGGCCCGAACACATCTCTCGTACTTGCAGCCGTTGTAATGTACAAATTCGAGACCAATTCCAACCGGTTTCTCCTGTCACCAATTGAAGTTCTCAATGACGCTCACGCTAGTTCACGAATGCATTGCTTCAGATACGAAGTGACGTCGCGCCGTTATCGTATGTATATTGAGTTCTCAACAGTCATCTCTAGTTGGTAATGAATCTTGATTAGTAAAAAATAATGTCACTCTGGTAAAATTATGCATTAGGAGCTTTGTCTCGCGATCAATTACAGAGCCACAGCTTGAAATATTCTTACGTTCCATTGCTTTCAGTCTTCCTCCCAAGACACTTCATCTGGTCTTTTCTGTGTACTTAGTCTCTGACCCTACTCTAAACTTAGACCATTTGGGGGAAGGTTGTCGAAAGTACCTCGAGCAGTTAAAGGTAACCAATTTCCCATCATGACTTTGTCTTTCTCGGTGGTAGATAAGTGCAACCCCGAACGTAGTTTGGCTTCAGCCAGTCGTAATTCTTTCTCCAGTTTGTAGGTCCCTTAGAGTTTGGTATACACGCCGGATCTCATTCGTTCTACACAATGCTCTATCCCACCTAGCTGAAGGGGGGTATCCTACGTAGACCAGGGATGGTCTGTCTTCCACTTAGACGTGTAGTGCTTCTGTAGGCTCTCCAGGAGACGGTGGTATGTTGTATTATTCCAGTTTTCCCCATCCAGGTTTGTTTTTACTGATATTGGTTAAAGGTATTGTCTATCCCTCAATCCTTGCCATTTTTTTCTTCAGGTCCACCTGCAAAATTTCGCCTCGGTGTCTCAATGGTCTGAGCCGCTTGAGTCAAACAGAAGTTTGCTCTGATTCGGGTTTATCACATCCGACCTCGAATTCCCATGTGAGCCGAATATTTTATTACAATCCACTTATTCCATATTTGCTCTGGCCAGTTCGTAGTCTCAAAGTCTTATGTCCTTGTCTTTTTAGTGCTTTCGAAATGGGCTCAAAAACTATGGGAGTACTTGCTACTTGAATGCTTTTCTTCAGCTCTACTTTCGGTTTGACAAGCTACGCCAGTCTGTTTTCTCGCTCTCAAATGAAGGTATGTTAAGATCTATCTTTTATTCCTGTGAGACCTTGCACGATAAAGATTGAACGATTTTGAACGGTCCTAGAGAATAGTTAGGGATGCTGTAATTTATGGCTGCTAACCATTATCAATGGCCGGTTTCTGTTGTCCGAATTTATTTCAATAAGGCCTTGAATTGGAAAGAATAATAAGTGGGATAGGAAATGGGACCTGAGGTTAGCCAACATCCAAGGCCAAACAAGCTGAATAGAGACTGGCAGCATGCACGTCACTGACATCCATCAGTCATCTCATCGTTCGGTGTTTCCAGCTTAGCGCAGGGAGGACCACATGAACCCCATCCTGGAAGGTGAACACCCAAACTTTCCTAACATCTTTTATTCCCATCTGCCACGTCAGATTCTCTGAACCGCTAAGTTTTCATTACTCCGAAGTGGGCACAGAAAACGTGGAAACTATGCGTAAGACATGTCCTAGCCATCTTAGCTTTCAGTGGTTTCGTAAAGCACCTTTGAGCGAAACCAACAAAGATGGAGCGACCATCGTGAATAAAGAAGAACGCCTCGACTGTTTTACCGAATACTTCGAACAAGCCACCAGTTGACACTCATCTGTGTCCACCGTTCATCTGGAGCCTACAGCTTACGCAGAATACTGGACAGTGAACATGGAACCCTATACGACCTCGGAAGTTTATGACTGGATATGTCCTCTCGAGCGCCATCGAGTTTCTGATCCGGATGACATTCCCCCGCATTGTTCATAGATGGGGATGAAGTCTTCAGTCATTCTGTGTCTGATTTGTCTCCATGCCTTTTGGAAAACGAGAATGTCCCAGACAACTGGGAAAAAATCGACGGTGGTCCCCATTTTCATAAATGGGTCTCGTGATGATTGTGATAACTACAGGGGAACCAGCTTGACTCTGATGGTGGTGGTGTCCCGTAAAACATCGACTCAAGAGCAGCAGGCGGGGTTCTGGCCTGGTAGGGATTGCGTTGACGAAATTTTTCACACTCAGTCACGTGCTAGAACAACGTCATATCTACGAACGACCCCAATTCCTAATGTTCCTGGATTTCCAATGTGCATTCGACTCGGTTGACCGATCTGTTCATCTTGATACGATTGCCTCTCAATGAATGCCACAGACGTTTTTGAACATAATAAGTTCTTTGTATTTTCAGACTTTCAGACGTGTGAGAGATGCAGAGAGCTATTCAAAACCTTCCGTAAACAAAACAGTATCCATTCCTATTTGATATCGTGATCGATGAGATAATGAGGTCTTCGAAACTCCGGTGTTCAAATAGCGTCTTGTCGATCTCGAATATGCAGACGATATTGTTCTGGTCTTGGGAGAGGTAAATAGGTATTTCCGGATGAACTGACCAAAGTCATCCAGTTCGTTGCTTTGCAATTCGTACCCACAAAGTGTAAAGTCATGCGGCTGGACTTGTTGCCATTGGACACGCTACTCAAAATCCAGGGACAGGCACTCGAAATTGTGGAGCCTAGTACATACCTTGGAAAGAATATTTTAGCTGTGGCACTCTTTTAGTACCTAGCTGCCGTGCCACCAGTGGGGGGGGGCACAGGGGCTGGGGTGCCACCAGGTTGCCCAAGCCTAGACAAGATTAGTCGATAGCTAAAGTCGGGTTCGAATCACGGGCCTCCCGGTCCGTATGCTACCGTCTATCAGCTATACTGACGCCATGCATGTATTGAAATTTGTATTAGTTCTGATTGTAATGTGACGGGTGAGGCCAATGCAAGGCTCCGGTCGCGTTTGCTAATGAGGTAACTATGTTGTCAGAGTGGTGTATCTCTGAATCTCAAGGGATTTGTGTTTCAGGCTACACAACGGGATGTTTTTGTATGGCTGTGGAACTGGCTTGTTTGATCAGCGGAACTGGGGCATCTTCAGTTGTTTGACGACCATTGATTCCGTACCATAGCTCGTGTGGGATGGTGTCGGCGGGTCCGTAATTAGGCAGCTAGAAAGGGCGCTTTCGGTTGTGCAACGGGTACTCCCATTGAAGAATGTGTCCAGCACCAGAAGCTGTGTTGGTTGGAACATGCGTTGCCTATGCCACATCATCGTTTGCCGAAGAGAATGCTGTTTTCCATGCCCGTTTCAGAGTGGCGTAAACAGAGAGGTGACCAACCCTTGACTTTGCAGAAGAGTATGAAGGAGATCACGGAACGCTTGGGTGCTGTCGGTGCTACTCCCCTTCCAAAATGGGGACCGCGTGATCCTCACTGCGCCTGGTTGGAGACGCTGCAAGATATGGCTGCCACCCGATGCCAGTGGCGTTCTTGTTGTCAGTTTCTATTCAGATTGCCTGAGTGAATGTCTGGAGGTGTAGGCACCTCGAAATGATTGTAGTAAGCTCGCACTGAGTGCCCTCCCAGTCCACCTTTATTCTTTTTACAATAAGACTTTCAAATAAATCATGGTTGTACGGCAGTGAAGCATCCGTGTTGAAGACGGATGTTATGCTGTCGATTATTATGAGCTTTCAGTTCTAGATGTATTCTTTGCTTGAATTGCCTTCTTATTGAAGGAAGTACGGCAGTGGAGCATCAATGTCAACACTGCTGTTGCCGTCTTTGATGGCGATGATGATTGTAAGAAATATTTGCAACCCATCTTGTATGGATGCCTGTTGTGCTGTTCTCTGTGCTGGGCAATTTTGTCACTAATCGGAATAACGTTATCCGTGTGTAATAAATTAATGGTTTGTAGACAAAACTTTTGCAACCAAATTACTCGGCTCGGTCAGCAGAACAGCAACCATCTTCGAACCCTAATGGTCTGTAAATAGCTGGCTGGTTATTCCCAAAGGTCCGACTAAAATCAGGATGAATCTGATCAGAGCGGATTCGCCGACTCGAGAAGCCTGCTGAATACTAAAGAAGTATTCGGTGTGGTGTTTACAGAGCTGTTGTAGTCAGTCTTGAACAACACTTTCCTTGATGTGCGACTCAGAGGGGCGTGAGGAATCAGTCTCGGATGTTTCGATTCAGCTCCCGCACACACTGCGAAAACTTTTACAGTGATTAGATGATAAGCCAACGTGGTCGGATGAACAAATAAATTGTATATAGGATTTACCAGCATTTGTCAGAATAAACGCCTCCCTAATGAGAGCTGCGACGGCTGCACCGGCTACTGGAAGTCATTTTGGGAACAGGTTGATGCCGAAATTGTCCATTATACCAGCCCTTGGGCTGATATCTTTGTGTTGTCAGAACTGAAAAACCAAAAGTCCGTTTTTCCAAAATTCTCAGTTTTGTAGATTAACTGTGGAGGGTGTGTTTTTGTACCATCTTATGCTTTTCGTATCTTGACCTAATCTCATCTGGCTAACAAGCTTTCGCACACACAGCTACAGAGCTCTGCACCCAGCCAAGCCTAAAATGTATGCGCACAAGTGTCTAATCGAAGTCTCTTAAGCAATGATTTGTTCAGTCTGTACTCATCCCTTCTTACATTTGGAGCTACTTTACGGTTTCTAGATAGTTTCTGGCTTTCGATTTTCGTAGTGGTGGTAATAATGATGAACGATGATGATGACTGGGAGGGGGACACATGGTTTGAACCCGACTTCTGCATCTTGACTTATCGTGTCTAGGATTAGGCACCCTGGCAGTATCGGAGCCCTCGTGCTTCCTTCGGGTGGCGTTGCAGCTAGACACCGAAAGTGTTGCAGGTGAACGTTTTTTCACGATGACTGTCAGGTCGGTCACCACACCCCAGTCGCCTCACTGGAAACGACATTTCCGTAGTGGCCAGTAAGCTGAAACTACAAGTAGCTGCAGCAGCAAACGTTGGGTGTGTTCTTAAAAGAACCCCGACGCGTTCCGTTAAGTTAGTGCTGACTCAACCGTGTGGATCTGACATATCTGCCGAAAGATGTGCGGGTTTCTTTTTCCGGACAGATTGGCATGAGTCGAGGATGCCTTTTGACCATGGCTTCTCTGCATTAACTCTATCTTCTTCATCGGAGGTCTGAAATGAGCTGGCTTTGCAACCGCGACGTTGGGCACACAGGGTTTATAAGCCAGTGAAGGCAGTTTAAGTGAACTACAGACCTGCGTTAAAAAAACTCCAAACGGGAGACCTTATGCGGGACTGTGTTTTCAAACAGCCCAGCTGCAACTGTCAATAAGTTCAATTGTCACGTGATAGATCGGAATAAACAGTTGGTGATGAGGTCGATTCCACAACAGAGTAGGCTCCGACTAGCTGGTAATGTGGATCCAACACCCCGTCACATCTCGGTGTCTGCTTCACGCAAGTTGAAAATAACGCATCCAGATTCTTGTTAATGGGTTCGATAGTTTCTGACCTCATAGGACTGAAGATACTTTGGAGAAATTTCGCCGTTTGCACGTTGCTTGTACGGTACTCAAACGTGCATCCCAAGAAGGTTCCTGTACGAACGTCGCACTAGTTGTAGGGGAATTTTACACATCGAGCGTTAAAATTCCCTTTTCAACGAATAATGGATCAGTGTGGATGCCATTTTTCGTGAGTAAACCGAAGGCATCTAGAAGTAGGAGGCGGTCTATGAAGGTAGCTAGGGGAAAACGAGTACAACGGAGTTCCTTGATGACAGTGATTCCAGTTTATGCGTTTTTCTTGTATTTATTCCCTTAACCACAATTGTTTCTGTACATCGCAGGCAACTAGTACTGCGCAAGATTTCGTACAACTTTTGCAACATTTTGTTACAGAAAGCTTGCAGCCGTACGCCTAAACGTAGGCAGGTAGATACGAACTTCAGATAGGAAGCATGCACCCCAAGTCTTGAGTAATCTTGAGCATTTTCATGCATTCACTGCCAGTGCATCACCACTTTTTGACTCTCTGCTGACGGGTTTTCGCATATATATGTATATGCATCTTTAGATAATTGAGTTGTATCTTGAGTAGCTGTGATCGTCTTCTTGTGTTTCCGTGTTTCTGGCACCATTTTTTATTTGAATGCATCTGAAAACCTAGGGTCAGATTTTTTGGAAGCCATAAGAATGCTAGCCAATAAAAGCACATAGGTACCTAATTTCCTCAGAACCCTCAGTAATTTTAATGCATCCCATTATGAGAGGAAGTTATCATTGACCGTGTCCTCCGTAGGCCTTGGACCACTAACGGCCCTCAGCTTATCCTAGGAATATTTGCATCTGATAGTTCTTGTGCGCTCATGAAAATTGTCAGCAACTATTGGTACCTTGTTTTGCTGCTATTCGCACAGCATTATTTTTCTTCATTTCTTTTATCTCGCTTCTAGTTGATGATACGGGTATCGTGTATCAGTTGCAGTTGGTTTTCAGCCAGTTGCAACTTAGCAACTGTGGGTGAGTTAGGCGTCGCCTTTTTGCATCGGTTATTTCCGCCGAATACCGGTTTGGAATTTGGTCTCTCTCATCATGGTCATCATTGACAACAACTCGGGCATCATATTGAACTTCCAGTTGTGATTTAATCTGGTATGACCTGCTGACTTTACCCCCTGGTTTGTGTGTACTCTGGTCAGCTAAGAAGGTTTCCTTATCTCGAAATACACTTATTAGTTGGTTTTAACGTGATGTTCATTTTTCGGTCTCAGCTAAATCTTTTGTTTGCTTGCAGTTCAGGTTCAAGCATAACTGAAACTCTGCGGCTGCTCCTGCCTTATAAACACCAAAAGGCCAAAATCCTTCGTGGGCTGCAGTTTTCAGCGTACTCTGGTCAGCTAAGAAGGTTTCCTTATCTCGAAATACACTTATTAGTTGGTTTTAACGTGATGTTCATTTTTCGGTCTCAGCTAAATCTTTTGTTTGCTTGCAGTTCAGGTTCAAGCATAACTGAAACTCTGCGGCTGCTCCTGCCTTATAAACACCAAAAGGCCAAAATCCTTCGTGGGCTGCCAAGGAGTTTTCAGCAACCTTATAAGTAGCCTGTTCCGTCACTATTATCCTCGTATTCTCTTGTTTCAGACTTTAAACAATGTCTGAACACTTCTCAAGTACCAATTGAGGAATCTGTTTCATCCGTCTGTTAACGGTCGTCAAAAACTCTCCGTTCACAGTCTCATACAGGCTACTGACTTCCTCACTGGACTAAATCAGCCAAATAGTGTTCAAGCGTTAGGATCATGGAAATTTCGCTACAGTGCTTCCTCTGATTACTTTGGAACGTCTGTAGCCACATCTGTTTTGTCTGTCCACAAATACGAGCAAGGGTTCACGCACCATCCTGCATTTGACTCAGGTGAACTATGAGTATCATAGTTCTGTCGGGATCCCTTACCTATGCTTACAGCATCGCTGGGGGCGAATGCGTCAGCGTCGCTCCTATCGAGTGCGGCTCAGTAAGATGTCCCGCGCCATGTCGATGCTCAACACTGTCTGTTGAGAGTAATGTGCGTAATGACTCAAAGTTGCTAATAAACTATGGTCCGAATGTCGTAATCTGAACGACAGCCGATATAATTCAAGAGGGGCAGGTAGTCTTGATAGTGGTCCGCACACCATGCTTATCAATCCTGAGTAAAAGCTCCACTGACTATAGCCTAGTTTTTTTTGCATTTCTGGCACAACCTCCTATTCTCGCTTTTCTCTTGACAGTGTGGTAGACCCAGGCGGATTGATTGAAGCGCTTCGTCTTTGTGAAGAGGAGCAACAAGTATGTTTGGACTTGTGTATTTGGTCCAAGGAATGTGTGTGTGTGTGTGTGCGTGTTCTGAGTTTCAGTTTCCATGCATCTATCTTGGTGACTTTTGATTTTGGCTTGTCCTTATGCACCAAAATAAACTAGTGGTGTTTCCACGACGCCCATTGTCAGAGACCCAAACGGCACCTCAAATCCTCCACGCATCGTACATTAACGCTGCCCGCTCTGTTCTCTGGCACGTGCTACCTGTTAGAACAAGTGATAACATTTGTTGGACAAATGACCAGACTCTGTTCCAAAAACGTGATACTTTCTTTTAAGTAACTTGCATGACGATTGTATTCAATATGGAGAGGGAAAATGTACAAGGAATTTGCAAGTAGTATGTAGACCTTCAAGTTCATCCGGTCAGTGAAGAACCATATGACTGTTTCATCTTTGTTAAGGATTACCAGCACTACATAACCCACGATTCTATGGGAGGACTGGAATCCGAGATCTGGTGAATAGTTGGTTGGCTCAACCTATATTCAGATGGCCCAAGTGGTTAGAGCGCGAATTTACCGACCGGAATGTCCGTCGAATGAATCCGACCTCTGCCACTCGACTTCCCCTGTCTAGGCCTGGGCGAACTTGCAGTATCCCAGCCCTCGTGCTTCCTCCGGGTGGCATGGCTGCCAGGCACCGGAAGGGTGTAACAGGTGAACGATTTTTCACTGAACGATATTCAGAACTGGCGCGTTGGTGCCCTGTGAAAAAGCCCGGGACGCCAAACTGGTTAGCGTGCCTGTGTGGGTTGATCGATTCCCGTGAATTAAATTAGCTGCGGCTTATGCTTTTAGTAAATTNGAAAGTTACAGGGAAGAGCGGATCCGAATATACAATCAGGAAGACTAGTTCGAGTCTATATACGAATGACAATTTATTAGCAATCCGCTTTTCATTTGAAAATGCGTTCTTCTAACTTTTCACAGACTGAAAGCCCAATCTGGGGTCTTGGAGAGACAAGTCATATGAGACTCCGGTGCGGTGATATCATAGACTGTTAACTACACATCAGATCACCAAATAACACGACTACATCCAGTAATCTTTCCTGATCGTTTTCCAGGATCTGATCTAGATACTCACCGATATTCCGGGACCTATCGTGTAAATCTATTCGTCGCAATTTTACCCTTCCGCAAATGGGAAGCTCTGATTCCTCCAACTCACCGTTGTAGTATATCCTATCAGTCCCTTTCTGCTTGAGATGCAGCCGAGATTCATGTCAACCATGGTGTGTGCAATCCATAAAACTATTTCTTGATTGGATATCATAGAAAAGCATCGGTTAACAGTTGCAACTGTTGTGCCGTGTGACTGGATAGGCACTCCTTTCCTGTGTGACAGCTGGTGCTGTAATAGTCCGACCTCGGTCGGGCGCTTATAGTGAGTATCGTTTTTCATCTGTTTATCCTGTCTCTCTCTTTTTCAGGACGCACCTGAGTTTCATTGTCTGTTCATGCATCTGCTTGAGTCCCGGTTTCAGGAGGCGGGACTCACGGTGGTGGACGATCTTCTACGGGGTGAATATGTACACGAAACCAGGCAAGTCAAGCCACGGGTTGAATCGCATCTCTTACCGCCTACTGATTCAGCATCACTTTGGATGCCGTCATTTGATTGACTGTCCCATTCTTTCTGGAATCGATATCGGTCAACTGTACCATTTGTTTTTCCGCTGTCTCTTAAATTCTGATTAGGCTTTCATACCTCAGACTAGTCTTCCACAGCGTTCTATCATCCTCTCCACGACGACGAATCTAGGAATGGTAGCTGGCGCTTAAGACTGCTAGGATATGTCTGTACTTCGTCAGTTGTTTTTGTATTGTGGGTTGTATTCCACCTTGTGCGCGTGCAATCATTTCGAAACTTGAACAATTTGGATGGAGTTGCGTGGATCTTGCTGTCAGAATGATTCGCGAAGCAAGGAGGTGTTTTTGCCCGGAAACTTGGCTTTTAGCCTCTAAGAAAGTCTGTCGGTTGAATAGTGGGATGAAACCTGAAACTCATGTAGTCAGTTTTTTTAAAAAAAGTTATCAATTTCCCCCTTGTTTTTGTAGTCTTCAACCTGCAGTCAATCAGAAACGTTTTCATCTCCCATGTCCTTGTCATGTTCGCGATTGTCAAGGTGCAAGCTATTGATCGAAGGTCTAGGGTTCGAACCCGATCCTAGTACCTTCCCAAATCCTTACAGAGTGGTGCTGTGCCAAAAAGTAATGAATAACTCTGTTCAGCTAAAGTGCTATTCCCGTTCACAATTGCGATGCCATTCTTGAGGTAGACGATGTAACAGGTCTGGGACATGAGCAATCAAGGAATCAGCAGTCTGAATCGAATCGCTGGCCTTCCGACTAGGGGTTGTAAACTTGAATTCTGCGTAATTATCACTTAGGCCGAGCTTTTTTTTATGGAGTTTTACCTTTTCATAACAGGCGAAGCGGTGAACAGCTGTTTCGCATATGCTCTTTTCAACACTGTATTTGTTTGGGACCGCAAAGGAGCTCATCACTACAAACCCAAACATTCAGTTGGAACAGTCACCGTAGCACGGAGGCTAGGCGTACTGTTGTAGGAGATGATCATCATCATCATCAACGACAGCATGACATCAGTGCTCAACACCAATGCTTCACTGCCGTACAGCCATGACTTATTTGAAAGCCTTATTGTAAAGAAAAGAATAAAGGTGGATGGGGGAGGGACTTAGTGCTAGCTTAACACAATCATTCCGAGGTGCCTACACCTCCAGACATTCACTCAGGCAATCTGGACAGAAACTGACAACAAGAACGCCACAACCATGACCTACTACAACCGGAAATAATAGTTCACATATAGCCCCATAATCTAATTTCGTTTGATAAAGTATTAATGATAAAGGTCTGTAATGGTCTAGTATGCGAACATTTCCAATCTCCCGCTCCATCTAAACCTTATCGAGTGTATTTGTTAAATAAGAGGAGCGATTATGTTTGTCCTTCCATCATATTGTCCGGATCATCTGCCTAAAAGCATACAGCGGGATGTGTGAGTGATGTGGAATGTGAGTTTGCACTCAACAGCAGTTCGTCTCGTACTGTCCAGTTATATATGCAGGTAAGTCATTGACTATCGAGGTTCTTTAGTGCTCTCCACCGGACTGGCTTGTTAGAACCACTGACATGAATTCTGACGCAGTGCGGGGTTTATGAAAGTTACTGGACTTCCCTCCCTTTGGAGAACTTGTCACATCAAGTTCTTGGCACTTAGCCGAGGCGAAGCTTTTTCTGTCGTCGAACCGACCAGCACATTTTGTTATCTATACAGTGTGTGGCAATCTAGTTTTGCCTTGTTTGTTGTCTGAATGTGGCTTGTGAACCGAATCGACCGTACTTTTTTTTAACTGAATAGCCAAACTTACGCAGCCTGCATAGTTTACTCACAATGCCGCTGAACGTGATAGACGGATCATATGGCTTGCTCATTCAGTACCGTTGTGTGGTACGGACGATCGCTTATCTTCTAAAATTAGTACCTTATTAACTCTACAACACTGCATATTTCATCGAAAATTCTATTTCAGGTGTCTATGTTGTGGTTTCGTTTCGAAACAGCCGTCGAAATTTCTTGAACTGTCCCTGAAAGTTTCCTCCAATACATTACAAGGATGCATCCGCGATCATCTGAAAGTAGGTCCTTGTTTTTTTTCGCTTTTTTTAAACTTGTGGTTTCTAGAGTTTCGCTCATAGTTATACTACTTCTCCGGTTCAACAGTTGTTTTGTTTTTACCGCTGTGATTCGTTCTCTGTAATCCGTAATACATTTCGGGTCAGTACATACTTTCAGCACAACAATCACAATTCAGCCGTAGTCCCCGTTGGAAAGCTTCAGTTCAAGGTTGTCGTTCATTTCGCGGTACAAAACTTGTCTCCAGCCGTGACATAATGCGGGCGCGTGTGTCGATTCGCTCCTCCTCGGGAATACACTGGTTGATGCAAGGCCGTTCAGTTCATCGCTTCCAGAGCGTCTATAAATCCCGACAATGTCGAGCTGAGTTACCTAAAATGTTTTCAGAAATAAACCGGGACAGTGATGGTAATCACGGTTCGGAGAACGAATGTAAAAAACGAAAGAAGAGATCGGAGCTTTTGAAATCATCTGTCTGGGGTCGCCTACACACCCCAGTTACACTGGATATTTCCATGATCGGTAGCTCTCATTGATGCTGGCGACAAACTGTCATGATAACGTATGCGGACCACCCAAAGGCTCACCATTGAAGAGCGTGTAAAGAACGCCAATGCCCAGCGGAGGCCAAGAAGATAAAGAGAGTGAGTTCGGGATAGTTCAAGGAATAGGGCGTTAAATTACTTACCAGAAGGTCTTTGGCTCGAACCCAGCCTCTGTATCTCCAACGCCACTGTCTAGGCTTGGGCAATATGGCAGTATCTCAGCCCCGTGCTTTCTTAGGCTTGGGCAATATGGCAGTATCTCAGCCCTCGTGCTTTCTTCGAGTGGCATAGCAGCTAGCCATCGAAATGAATTCACAGCTGAACGACGAGACAGAGCTTTCAGAACCGCTACTCGCTGCCCCATTTCAACCAATCCGACCGACTGGTTTGGGGGAGGACGGCTGGTGGCAAAAAGTATGGAACTTCAGTTGCTCCAAAGTGGTGGGGCAAACATTTGAAAAACAGCCCAGCTGGTCCCCATCGAATCATTCTCTGTAGAAGATGGGTGAGACAAAATGAAACTTCGATGCCAGCTCCCTTTAACCAACAGAAATCCAGCAAGAACGGTTACCTTGTAGTTAGCCTAGCTATCTTCAGGATATCTGGGATTAATACTGCAGTAGAATGAAGCGCTTCGACGGTGATTCCGATATCTAAAAGAGGTGTAAGATGCAAAACCACCGGGGCATCCATGTAGTAGCAATAGCTTTTAAGGTATTCTATGGCATTACCCTGCGCAAATGGATCGACCATAGGGGGGTCGCTCGTGGGAATCCATCTAGGTTTGTCTCTGATCGAGCTTCTACTAATCATACCTTTTTCTTGAAGTGAGCTGTTCTCGGCGAACAGCAATGGTCATTCCTATTGAATTGAAAGTTACTTTTGACCCCGTTGATTGCCAGAAACTGTGGAAGTGTCCGGCGGTGAACGATATTCTTTCATAGATTATGATCTATGATGAAGACTCTGAATACCTCTTTCCCAAGACACATGCGAGTCTCCAGCAGACTGTTGCTCTAGTTCACTATATCCGGTGATGTCAAGCTAGACTACCGTCCTCAGTTTGCTCGAATATCCGTCGCTTTCTGTCAGCACAAGATTGAGCAAAAGAGTATTCTGTGGGGCAGATGACCTGTGAAGCACGCGTCTTTATCAGTGTTACCTATGAAACATAAATAGCTCGTTGATCGCCAGATAATTTCTTCTTCCTTAAACTATCTGGCGTATCTTAGCATCAGATCCGGTCAGTATTTCAGTGACATCAACAGTAAAGCAGTGAGAATTTTCCTACATCCTTGGCGCTTAGTCGCCACGTCTTGATCCACCAGGCAGTATTGATCTCACAGTCTTAATGCATACTCTCTCCCTCACAGGGACACTGATGTCATGCCAGCGCCGTAGGCGTTGAAGTTTCGCAAAAGCCGCTCAGGTCTTCGCAATTCCGACGAAACAGATAGCTTGTAGTAAAGTCAAACCGTTGACCAAAGCTTCACTATATCTTAAATGTGCGAATAATCCGGATCGGGTGCCTTGTTTGGTTGGAGCAATAATGTCTTGCACTGAATTCGTGTTGGTGTCAATATTCCACGTAGGTTATATTGTTTTTATCAGAGATTGTGTTAAAGGGGGAATTATTGTTTAAAGCGTTTAATCCGTTTCTCAAGACGACGGGTCTGCGTCAGCTTTTCCGCAAATCGTTTCGCTGTCACCCAACTTCCTCTGACCACGCGATAAAATCAGACAGAATATGGCGCGGCCGTTTCTTACAGCAAAATTTTCCGCAAACTTTTGGGCCCTTGCGGTCCGCCTATCTTCTACGTCGTCCTTTCGGCCCTCGATCGTCCGACATTTTGAGAAATGTGTGAGCTATCTTCGTCTCTAGCTGCTACCGGTTCGCCTTTTTGGCATCAATGAAATCTACTGGGCTTGAGAAACTCTAGTATTTATTAAGTCGAGTAGGGCATGCCTAAACGCTGAGTGCTTTGCTTCCCTCTCCCCAACTTGGGTCTTGGTTTCCAACTTTGGCGTTCAAATCACCCGTCAGAATGAAAATATCCCTCCTTCTTCCTGGCTGGATCAATAGTGACAGACCTCGATAAAATCCATTCCAGCTCTAGAACTGCAATCTGTTGGGACGCATGCTCACATGCAAATAAAGATGGGTCCCCGCATCTTATGCGGGCTACCGTACGGTGCATAGATGTCTTACTCATGGTGCTACTGCGCACTGCAGATGCGTTTGGAGTTCTCGTTAATTTTCACTTGTATTCCGATCGTACAAGATGATTCGCTGGCCGTCGGCCAACTGCTAGGTGGTCAGAGTGTATAGATTTTCGGACTGAGGTATTCTAACATGTCTTTCCTCGGGGAAGGTGACATCACTGCTGTCATAGATGGGGACCTGTCGGTCCAAGAGGAAACACCGCATTACGTTTATACCTTTATTGCGGTTAGTCATAGCATAGAGACTGGTTAACCATTTAGATATAGATACTTATTTCAATGACTTACTTAATTCTGCCGCACGTTTTGATGTGCGCTTCACATCCGCAAGGTCCAAAACTGCTACTAAGAGATTGTGTGGGATGGGACTTAAACTTCGTAGTCGCAGATGGGTCGATCGATTTGGCAGGCGAATTCGTCTATCTAGACAGCTGCATGAGCCCTGATTAACTAGCTAAAGTCTCGAATAAATAAATCAAAGGAAGCTTCTGTTAAATTTCGATATTCTCGGTGCCGATGCGACATCATTTTGGCTGTCAAGACTGCTGTAATGCGATCTACTCAACTTTATCGATCAGGTTAACGGCAGTTGCTTATACCTTTTCGAATGCTCTGAGTTCGACCATCATTATCTCCGACGCCTTACGCGAGTCTGGTGGAAACATCAGGTCAGTACTACTGAGTTACAGTGGATGGTTGTCCGGAAAATTCACTCGCCTTCAGTTAACGAACTAGTCACACACACAGCATAAGTTACTCTGGGGGGACCGCGTTCTTCGCCTAGCCATGTCAAGTGCAGGTGACCCAGAGGCGGTCATTTCATGACTCAGTAGCAAAGCGTGAAAGCTATTTCAGGACAACTCAGTCGCATTAAAAACTGTATTGCACCAGTGTATATCAACAGTAGTGTTTTGTATACCCATTTCAGTATTATGTCTTTTTGCCGGTTTCATTCTCACTCGAATCACTTTATCTAAAACAAGTGGTTTGCTACTAACTTGGCAGTTTCCGCTAATGTTTGTAGGAGGAGCCGCTCACGGGTGAAAATCAGTATGCCTGTCCGCGATGTTCTCAAAAACGGGACGGTGTACGGTCCACTTACATCACCAAGGCCCCTTCGTTATTGTGCATCCAGTTCCTCCGGTTTACTTACGATCCGAGAACCAGTCAACGGAAAAAGCAGAAAGCTGCTGTGCGTCTCCCGGATGTGATCGAACTCATAGAATTCGATGACGAATCAGGTGATCCAACGGTTGAGCACCCCTGCTCAGTTAAGTGTTTGGCTCACCAGTATGGTACGTGTGTCTTCCTTTGTTTTGAGGTTTTGTTTTTAATTGCGTAAGGGTCGATGCCAAATGTTTGTAGAAAAATGAGACTGAATGGAAATATTAGTCATTTTGTTTACGAATGACTAATAAATCCGTCCAGGCTCGTTTCGTTTCATTCGTAAACACAAGGGGCGAGATGGCCCAAGTGGTTAGAGCGCGAATTTACTGACCGGTAGGTCCGTCTAGGCTTGGGCAACCTGGCAGTATCCCAGCCCTCTTGCAACCTTCGGTGGCATGGTAGTTAGGCACCGAAAGAGTGCTACAGCTGAACCTAAACACAAAAAATTATCTCACTGCTCGTAAACAGAAGATCCATGAAGTAGACATTGGTACTTATATATTCGGAGATCGCTCGTATTGGCCGTGGTTTAAACAGTAAGTGTTAAAACCCAATATAATTGAGTATAAGGCACTCTGTCGGTGCCTCGTTGCCATGCCACCCGAAGGCTGCGATACTGCCAGGCCGCCCAAGCCTAGACAAGGCTTCTGTGCCGCACTACATTCGGCTCAGCACAAGCCGTCCGTGGGTCTCCTCCTATACGCAAGCGTCCACTCTTGGTCGACAAATTCTATTTGGATGTCAGCCATTCAAACTAAGGTCCTAAGGGGATAAAACTTGAGGGCGAGGTTTTACTATAAAGTTTCGTACAGTAATGTGGTTTATCTAAAATGAACGCAGGTAGCTTTCTTGGTATTGTACGAGTATAGAGTACTCGAATGACAACTCAACCAAAGTCGAAAGTCGGGTTGGAACAGCCACCTGCTTTGTTGTTCATCATACCCTATGATGTAGAACAAAGGTACACCGAAAAAATACTTCAATAATGAAGGGGCCGAATTAGTTGACGTAGGTGTCAGAACTAAATGGGTCATTTGGAGGCACCAATGATGGGATAATCTGAAAACGACCGGAAGCCATTGAATGTGTGAATCAATGGCTGATACGAACTTGGCCAAGGTAAAAGAACAAACGGAACAGTGGCGTGAGGTTGAACGGTTCGTCTGGGTTGACTTTTGGTAAATGAAAGCTCGTATGAACTTCTGTTGAAATTCGTTTGCTCACATTTGTCCGTTCATAATGAACAGAGCTCTGGTTGGAGTTCAGTGGCACTGTGCGTACTAGAGTTTGAAGCATGGGATAGCTTGCTTCCAACGAGTACAGTTTTGAGTGCTGACCGACCAAATGGCCATCGGACGCTTCGGATCGTGTGAATGAATGTTCGCTCCCTCGTCGTGTGCCAGTGGTGGTGAGCCACATTGTACTGGATTGAATCTGTGCACTGTATCGCGATATCTCAAATATCGTACCAATCGAAGCATCAGGGGACCTGGTGAAGCACACTCAGTTGACGAACATCACAAACGACAGAATCAGCTTCGTTCCAGATGAGTCACTCATCAAAACCAAGTTGGTATGCAGATCAATTTATTAACCGAGTATCCCGTTACTTGTGCATTGTGGTCTCAATTCGAATTTCATCCATTCGATTGCATATTTCAGACACTAATGGGCCACGGAAGTACCGACTTCGAGGTGTGTTGCTGCATATTGGAAAACAACCAACCTCTGGTCACTACGTTGCTGTCGTTCGTGAATCTGGTAGCCCGAATGAATCGAAGGAATCGTCGGAAACGAGACAAGGGACGGAGTTTTGGACAGTTTGTAATGATATGGAGGTGAGTTTGTTCTTGGATGGAAGAGTCTTAGGGTTACGTTTCATATGTTCTCATCGCCTTCATTCCAGTTTGTGATAACCGCTTCAATAGAGAAGCCTGCTTAAGTTGTCTATGCGCAGAACAGTTCTAAGCATGAAAATAGGTATTTGACCTCTTCTGGCTGATGGGAGTGTTGTTGTCAACAGTCCGTTCTTCGGAGGGATGTCTTTCGGGTGAATCACGTTACCTGGGTGTAGCTGCACGTGCACGCCGCAGAGTTATGGATTGTAAATTACTGCATCCTCCTGTGGTTAGTTGTCCTACGTCACCCTTACCAAACTGGAATACACCCTCTTAGGACGATCATCGGAAAGCTAACTGCTCATTCAATCAGTATGAGAGTTCCGTTTGTTCTCATCGTCAACCACCTAGCTGTAGTCAGTCTATGCTATCTCTACAATATCTTTTTTCAATGAAAATCGCGAATTTCAAGCATGCTAGGTCAAGTAGAATAATTTTCAAGCGATTCCGGCCGATCCACCTTGATGTGAACAACTTTACCGTATAATTCCAAGCATTCAGTAGTGTGATCATGGGAAACGTTCGTCGCAGTCAAGCTGATGAATTGTGGTCTTGGAGAAATCTATCAATATCAGGGAACCCCGCAAGTGGAGTGGACAGTTCGATATCTGTAAAACCTCCCAACTTCGGTTCCTCCTCTTCGTATCGTTTAGTTCTCATTCCACCACAGGGGCATGTAGTTTCACTTTTAATGGAATTCCCTAAGCAACCAGTATTCTATTTCCGTGAGGTTTGTCACACTATTTATCCACGTTCTGCCAATACCTACTCCATCAGGTTTGTACCATCCCCGCGGAAAAGTTCAACCTATCCAAAGTCAACGGGTCCACGAAAGCGTTACAAGCTCTCCTGAACAGTAATCCAATAAAACTGTCACCTGAAACGGATGATGCTTCAACCTCCCTGAATGGTCCCAATGCTAGACGAGCGGCGAAATCCCGTGGTCCACATATCAAGAAACGTCGTCAAGATTTACTCAATGCCACTGCAGCGGAGGATTCTGATTTGTCTGCATGCCAGTCGGAACCAGAGGTCGGGGACCAAGAGTTTTTTGAAGGTGCAGCTGTCAATGGTACACAGGAGAACCAGCGTTGGTATTCCTCGTCTAACGCCTACATGGTTTTTTACGAGTCCATTGACGAGCAATCCGCCGAGCCGAGTGGGTTTTCCTTTGGAAAATTGTAGCAACTCGGACACCATCTTGCCTAGACATGAATACTTGGTTTTTTACGAGTCCATTGACGAGCAATCCGCCGAGCCGAGTGGGTTTTCCTTTGGAAAATTGTAGCAACTCGGACACCATCTTGCCTAGACATGAATTCATAACTTGGTTTTTTTTTGTGTGTGATGATTTTACTGCATACGGTTATGTTCTCATTTTGCTACACTTCAGTTGTTTGCATTCCCGATCACCTGCGTCAACTGGTTGAAGATGTCAATTCCTCCAAACGCGAAGAGTTGTATGCCCAGCAGTCTGCCAGGGTATGTTCTGTCTGTTTGCTGGAGCATAAGCTGGCTCTCTTATTTTCGCTTAATGCAACCATCCATACTCAACGATTTCTAAAAATGGCTACCTAGTTTTGTATCTAACGTCGAACGCCGCAGATGGATTTGAGGCAATAATGAACGACGTCCTGTTCGATGGTAAGCAACCAACTTGCTTCATCTTCGTGACGGCGCTGGCCTCGAAATCATATATTCATCTGATCTGTATGTATTCGTACACTGCAATCGTTTTCGGTGGATATGTCGGCTAGTTTTAACATACCATAATAGTACTGTCTGGTGCTCGCACAGGGGCTTCACAGAGCCGTGTGATGGGGGTTCTGATCATTCTGACTCGTAAACAAGGCATGAAATTTCCAATCGGTCAAGCTGGTCGCATGATAACCTTGGGAAAAGACACTACGAGCGTTAGTGGAACACAAATGGTTTGGCTGCTAGCCCCTAGTGCTTGTGCGTTGAAAGCATCGCCTTCACCATGCGGGTGTCCTGATTCTTGTGAATATCAAAACGATTCAACATTAGTCAAACCGTTAAGCCATCGCATCCAATGGATGGCTATTTTCCCGTCATCTCGTCACCTTCGCTGAGCTAAACTACAGCGGTTGGAACCAGTGTATCTTAGTCCACCGTTGACAATTTTGATTTACGGCAATTACGTTTTTGCGCAACTTTGTTACTTCTTGGCTGAAAGATCAGCAGAGTATCTCGGTTTCCGTGTCATATCACCACTGATTCATGATTGCCAATTGCCTTCAGGTGATTGATAGACGACGAGGGCATGAATGCACCGTACATGGCGCACTATGTGCTCTCGTGATTCCGAGTGGCCCAAGTGACTGACTGACGATTGTCTTCAGCTTAAGTGAGATGGTTCAAGTGTTTAGAGCGTGATTTTACTGACCGGAAGGTCCGTGGTTCGAACCCAACCTCTACCTCTCGACTTTCCCTGTCTAGGGTTGGTCAACCTGGCATTATCCCAGCCCTCGTGCTTCTTTCGGGTAGCATGGCAGCTAGGCACCGGAAGGGTGTTACAGCTGAATGATGTTAGCCCATCCAGTGGTATATGTGCAACATGTACCTGTTAGGATTCCGCTCATGACATAGGAGAATGTCTTTCCGTCTTCAAAGATTGAGCTGTTGCTGTATTCTTTTTCTCTCTCGGTGCTGTGGTTCAATGTCAGCGCTCTTACGAATAATGATTTTGTGATCTTCCGCACCTGTTTCGCTTGCGTAATGGTTCATACACACGCATCATTCAGTCTTGTGTATATCTCCGTCGAGTTAATTATACAGGAAGTTACTGTGTTTTTTCTTTTTCCTACTGTGAAATTGTTCAATCGATACTGAACTAGCCCCTATGCACAAATGACCTTGACAAGAGCACTTATCTTGGCTTAAGGGTAAAAACTATACGTAGGATCTGTATCATTATTTCCAAATTCGTATCATTAGTTGATTTTGTCTTCGACCGCTCGACACTTCCCTTTCTGTTTCTAACGTCTTTATCCTATCCCTTATCCGACCTCTTATTTTCAGTCCAAGCAGTTGTCGGCACTTCGCGAACTACTACAGGATATCTGGCCACCAGACTTCAATTCAGAATCACTAACCCCAGATACACTCAAGTCTTTCTCACTTGTGCCTACTCAGTGGTTGAAGGAGTGGCTCAGTAACCCTGAGCAGGCGGCCCCTGACCTACCTAAGCAGCCAGATACGTCCGGCGCAAATGTGGGAACTTCAAACGGACCAATCTCCTGTATATTTCCCTTTTGTGAACATGGACGGGTTCCAATTGACTTGGACAGTTCAACATATCGAGCAGTATCCACTGCCGGTCTTCGAAGGAGATTAGCTGATAGCATCTCAACTCCATCACCTACCGATTCCAATGAGAAGCTGGACCAAACGTTAGTAATCTTTTCTTGCTTTAGTATACCTGTAATTTTGGTCTGTTCGATAGACACTGGTCCATCATCAATTACCGCATTAAAGAACAACCCAAAGCGATATTCCTCACCAAGCACGTCTCACGCGACACTATGTCGTATAACGGGTTCCACCAGAGCCAAGAATAAGCGCTCGAATCTTAGAGATACTGCTCCTCAGGAGGCATGATGATGAGGTTTTCCTACGGTGCATGCAAAAATAGGATCTCAGAGTCCCATCCGCTTTTTGAAGAGGTTAACTTGACAGGGGTAATAAGGTCGATAAATGTGTGCACCAAGTAAACGAGTTTCTAACGGCGTTTCTAACGCATTCCCATTCTCGTTACTCCATTCATTTGCCCTGGAGTGCAATTTTCGAATGCCAACACATCACTGCTCCGGGGGATTTTCGTTCTTTTTATGGCGTGTGCGTGCGAGTGCTGCACAGTTTAACCCCCGTAGAGAGCGACCGGAAATAGTTTATTGGAAATGGACTCCCGAGATTGTCTTGTCGGTTAATAGAAGTCCCAGAAGACCTAAAATAGACCTCATTTGAGGCTGGTTTCAGGAGATGGACATCTGCGTTGCACATTAACTCTGGGTCGATATATCATTGACCACAAATACTCTTGAAACAATCCCAACACGCTTGATCGCTTTTCCTTTCTAATCGTCCAGCTGTAACACCCTTTCCATGCCTGCCATACCACCCGAAAGAAGCACGAGGGCTGGGATAATGCCAGGTCGCCCAAACCTAGACAGGGAAGTCGAGAGGTAGCGGTCGGGTTCGAACCATGGACCTTTCGGTCAGTAAATACACGCCCTGACCATACCCATCTCATTTTTCCTTTAGCTGTAAACGTGTCCGGGCTGTCTGCAATCTGTGGGTGATTTCCAGTGTTTGGTGGTCCTCAGGTGACCTAAAGTAGCATATTCGTAGCGTAGATCGATGGGAATCCATAATGATTAACCAGTTCGAAAAATCATCTGAATTTATTAAGGGCAATCCTCAAGTAAGGGACACTCTAGGGATATAACCATTGTCCACATTGTCTACATGGTCTCGCAGACTAACATCTAAGTCCACAAATATAATCAATAAGCTTAGCTCGAGTTGAATTACGAGAAAAGAACCTTTAGCAACACAATCATTGATCTCTAAAAGTGTCCGGTTAAAACCGCGCTCTGATGATATCACTCCGGTCGGTGACAAAATGTTTGCAACCTATTTACCGAACTGGGCGAACAGATCAACGGTCACGTGACCGACCGCCATGTGTTCTCCGTAGCTCCGATCAGTCTATATCTCCGTTGATCTGAGTCTTGTTTCAGTTGGCTGTGAGTTCTACTCTGAACGGCAAATGCGTGACTCAATCGACTATTCCGATTCCCATTATCTGTCGTTTTACGAACATCCGATTGAGTCGAATGTATATCCGCTCGATATGGATAAAATGAGTGTTGAAAATTAAAATAACTCGAATGAGCCTTCGTTTCATCTGGAAGAAAACAGCGTATTTCGGCTGAACTATGTTGTGTCGTGGAAACAAGCATAGCTTAGATTCTTTGTCATCTTTTGACTCGCGGTCTGTCTTCTTAAGTGTTTATCGAAATGTCCGGTTGAATAACGTTGTCAGGGATGTGAATTCGTCCGCTCTCGAGTTCACCGGACAAAGCAACTTATGTGTAAAGTTGGCTAGAAACGTTCGCCAGAATGTGACCCATTTCCTGTTTTAGAGTACTTCTCGGCCTCTGGCAAGCCTGTTTACTGTCGCTTTTTCGGGTCATCGAGCATCCGCAATTCTAGTGAGGACCTCAGGGCCCCCAGAATAAATTCATAAAATGTCTCCCCTTGCTAGATGTGATTTTCTTTGTTCAGTAAATTTATTGTATTTGTTTGGACGGGGCATGGCACCGAAAGGGTGCTTTGAATAAACGATTCTATTTGTTACTGACAAAATTGTGACTAACGGATCGGATGTATCAGACAGTCTACTCCCATAAAGTAAGATACTTCACAAACAACGTTCAGGTAAAGTTCGACACCTACAAGAACAAGAAAATCACTGTCTTTGTGGGCATTTTCCCTTCAGGCCTTCATTGGATGCCGCATCCAACAGATCCTTAGTGGATGTTGAAGCATGCGCAGCACCTTCGGAAGCAATCGTCTCACAAAGGCATGTGTTTTCCCATCCAGAGAATCCGTGATAATAAGGAGCCGATCTGGAACTCATATAAAGCGCCATCCTTAGCTTGAACGATGCTCAGGATGCTCTTTCAAAATGTCAGTTGGAACCTGCAGCGGAAGCGTGGAGATCTATGGGAGACTCTTGCTATATCAATGAGCGTCAGGCAAGGCTGTCCTCCTACACCTTTCCTCTTCAACATCTTCACTGATATGATTATGAGACACTCTCTTCCAGCCTCTATTGCATGTGGGGTCGAAATGCTCGCAGATATCGACTACGCAAACGACATAGTTCTTCTGTGACCTGACGCCATTGCGTCACGTCCAAGACAACATTAAATAATCCAAATCACTCTGCCCACGGTTTGGCATGCACTTCACATCTGCAAAGTGCAAAGATTTTGTGGGCTTTAGCCTTGCATCACGCTTGCGGATGAGCCTATTGATTTCTAAGGTAACTGTCTTCAGAGCATTGCCCGAGTCTCGTGGAAACACGGGATCAGTACTGCTGAAAGGTCGAATGGTTTTCGGAAGAAATAACTCGCCCAACGTCGATGAAAGCAGATCAATCTCCGTGGGCTGGGCTAGCTTAGTCACATGCTCCATATGCCAGTTTACTGACTTCCTCAAAGAGCCCTTTTCACACGACCACGCGAAGGGTGAAACTGGGCTAGAAGAGGTCAAACCATAAATTGGTTTTTACACAGTAGTTATATCAGCTACCGCCCACAATGAGTAGCTATCTATCCCACCTCCCCAAATAATCGGTAAACGATACTTTGCCAGCTATAACCATTGTACTACAAGTATAGTTAAGGATGATAATGGCGATGTTCAAAGCGATCTTCTTTTCGATTCAAATATGGCCTGAGGAGGATACCCATTCTGTGACGCGAAGTCTGGATGGTTATACAAGCCCCATTGGGGACTTGTTCACTTTAAGCCTCTGTTTTCCTATCGTGGTGTCTCAATACTCATGCCAAGACATCTGACCGGAACACTCCACAGTGAGATTTTACTACTCAGTCCGGTGAAAAATTTACCCCTGACACACCTTTAGCGACAGAATTAGTGATATTCCGAATAAGCGCGATTCCCCAAAATCTTTGCTCTAGGAATCTGGGGGCACGGTACTAGGTCCTCTGCACAGACTCTAGATGATGTGTTTTGTGAACCGCAGGCAACTTGGCTGATTGTGACTTATTTTCATCAGTAATCACTTCAACCCGACGAAAGCTTCAAAAGTAGCTTCCTGATACTGTCGCTCACGCAACCATGGTCACTCTTTCAACCGGGAATTGCATCTGTTAAATTGGTTTAGCAGGCCTGTTTTGTCTACTGTTTGCAGGGGTTCGCATATGGGGAAAGTCACTGAGACTGCTTTCTCGAACGCGGTTTTCTCGGTACTTGCCTTTAGTGTTCAGTCTCCCCTCGTTTTCCCACTCAGCTTTGTTATTCTCTATGCATCTCTTGTGATTTCTCCGCTATCGTTTTCTCCATCAGGCTACAGTGTCTTCAACCTTGCCGTGACTGTATCTGTCACAAAATGGCTCTGTTCCAGCTGGAACAGGCCATCCGCACACTTTCCAAAGAATTAGATGCCTTTCTTCGTGGCAAGTCAGTTCCTCAGGTACCTCTTGCTACCACCGGAACATGCAGTTCTCCCGTAGAGGTAAGCGGAGTGTTTTTGCTCCTCTGTTTTCATCTAAGGCATGCTCGACCCTAACATAAATTTGTGTACTTTTGTTTGTTTTTTCATCGATATTCCCGTTGTGGTGCTCGGGCCGGATTAGAAGAAGGGCTGAAAAATTTTCTGCCAAAAATCTGAGACAGAAAAGTGCAAAACGTAGTAGGAAAGAACCTTTACGAAGCTGGTGAAAGTAATTGTATCTGGTAGCTTTCATTCGAATATGGGCTATCCTCTCTCTGAATACCCGAGTAGAATATCGATTGTTAAAGACAATTTAACAGCTACGCGTCTTTTTTGTTCACTTTCGCACATCTACGGATCGCATCGATAGCAGGCTGGATGTGTCATTCTTCGAGTATTTCACTAATCGTCACATTCTGTCTTTGAGCCTGATACTACTATCAATGTTTCAACCTCTCTCATAAATGGTGTCTTGTCAGCTCCCGGTTGTGGACGTTTGTTCAAAGAGATAACTTGTTTATTCGCTCAACTGGCGCGTTATTCACAGTTCTCAACCAAGTCCCTGTCCCCTCTGATCAGCCTATTTAGGAAATACAAGAACTTCAGTGCAAGTCCTCTTTGGCTATCGAAATACTCGCCAGGAGGTGGTCCAATTTTCTAACAAATTCAGTTCTGTTCAAACCCAACAGCCACATTCATGTGGACAGATTGCTTGGCAGGGGACGAACAGAATGCCACTGCATGCGGTATAGGTTTGACCGTAACCTGAGCCGTGAGCAACTGATTCAACAGGCATAAACCCATATCTTAAGTTTAGTTTCTTTACCTGAGGGATAGCTGTGGACATTGAAACTAAGTTTGTAGGTAGGAAGCCGCCTACCCGTCTAATCTTACGATGGGTTGTGCTCTTCAGCGTCATCCTAACCAGTCTCATTCAGTAATTAACTCACTGACCCTATTTCATTGTTGCTATACTGCAGTCTTTGCAAGAAAAACCGCGAAAAATAGAATATTCGATGCAAGTGAAACATTCTCCACTGGCGAATTTCCCAAGTAGGGAAAGGCTTTTGGATTAACAAAGACGTTTGTGTGCTGTCGGTTCTACTCGCCTTCCAGGATGGGGACCGGGTGATCCTCACTGTGCCTGGTTGGAGACACTACAAGATATGGCTGTCAACCGATATTACCGGCGGTCTTGTTGTCAGTTCCTATCCAGACTGCCTGAATGAGTGTTTGGAGATGTAGGCACCTCGGAATGATTGTAGTAAGCGAGCACTAAGTCCCTTCCCCGTCCACCTTTATTCTTTTCTTCACAATAAGGCTTTCAATTGAATCATGGTTGTACGGCAGAGAAGCATGGGTGTTGAACACTGATGCCATGCTGTCGATGATGATTGCCGTTAACACGCAGGTTCCGCAAATTTCAGTGACGGCATTTATGCAGTCCCTATTGTCTGTGATGGGCGGCGTCACGATATAGTTTTCCAGATGTTTTGATATCGATTTCAGGCCAAGGGGTAGTTAGAATTGATCTGGGGTCGGGGCACAACTCTGCGCTCGACCACAGTCTGTCTTTGATTTGGTGGTGCATGTCCACCGCCACTCGTTCATCAGAAGACAGTTGGGTTTGTTGCCGAAATGGGCTAGGTCACTGTAAAATTTAGGCTCCTCGGTAGCATAGATCATCGTTCGCTCCTTAGGAATGTCGCAGAAGTGTCGACTGTAGTCATTGATGGGTGTGTAGGAGGTGCAATAAAACAGATATATGGTAATCCGCCCACAAAGAGAGAAAATCTACTCTCATAGAATGGTTCCAAAAGCGTTTTCTGTCCCATCCGCAAAACTTCTCTCAATATAGACCATGACATTCCTTCTGGGGGAGGTATTGCGCATGAATTTCATTCACTGAAGTGAGTTTGTTTGACTTCGCCCAAATATGTTCCGTTATTTTCAATCTGCTGGTCAGTCGTCAGAAGAACAGCCAATGTACTACTGGGTCGGAAGACGTTCACTTCGTCAATGGCGCAGCATGGCTCGTGATTACGTTAGTAGAATGTATGCCGCTGTGCAAACACTTGACCAACAGAAACCTCCTAACACAACATTCAATTCCGATGCTCTCTGCTCCCACGGGAAACTGCGTTACAGCTCAAAACATCTTCGCTGCATTCCAGCAGAGTTATGGCATTCTCTAGTCGCCTTATTTCCCGCCGCAGAGACCATCCCTAATTTTCCAGCGATACCCGTTACTAGCCAAAAGTGCCCGGATTGTGAACAGTTGGAACGAAATGTAATGGAGAGAGCAAGCCGAGAGCGCCAAATGCTGTCCAACTTACTTTTACCCTCATCTCGGCGGCAGCTAACGCCTACACTGGACCGATTTCCTCTGGTAGACGAGTCCCTGCTTGCTCACGTCGTCATACGCGATTGTCTTTCCTCGCGAGAGAACCAGTGAGTTGCCACTAATTTCACTATCCAAAGAGATTCGTTTAGCTTAATTCACTACTCGTGACCTTGGATCTTGTCCGAGCACCATATCTGTTTATGCCTAGCCTACACACATTTCCGTACGCTCTTCTCAGCTTTCCTTCGGAGCTATTTGAATCCCACCAGTGGACTTGTTTATCCTTCATTAAGTGTGGAGACACCAATGCCTATCAGACATCTCGGGTGCTTATAGTAGGCCAGGAACCATTTTTAGATTTGCCTGTCACATCTAACCGAACCAATTGATCCCCGTAATCGGTAATGCCATAGGCGTGTTGTGCTGAGCCTCGCGTGCAAACATCTAAACACACTTTATCCCATGTGAATCCAGAAGAATGAGACCAGAGGATGAGAAGGGAGTCAGCATGCCTAACTGATTGTCTGTAGTTGTCAGCTCAGAGTGAGACAGCTATGTGGTTGAAGCCCACAATGCATTCGGATGGCAGTCCGCGACAGCCGTGGGTTGCACCTATGGCTCATTGATGACTCGACAGGTTTGGTCTGTACAGTAATGTTCGCAGAGTAACTTCCAGCAGTCCCGCGGACTCAATACTTCGATACAATGCATTCGGATGGCAGTCCGCGACAGTCGTGGGTTGCACCTATGGCTCATTCATGACTCCACAGGTTTGGTCTGTACAGTACTGTTCGCAGAGTAACTTCTAGCAGTCCCGCGGACTCAATACTTCGATATACAGTGTTAAGATGGACCTAAATCACACTCGCGTATCGCTCCTTATATAGACGTAGTTTGTTTCGCTTTGATCTATATGACGGGAATTTGATCCTAGCATCTTTGCAGATTTGTCTGTCCGACATTCTAAGAATGTAAGATGGATTTTTTAACTTGCTTCGTACAGCGATGTTTCGCCAACTGTATTGACTGGCGATCAGCCAGTCCAAAATGATGAGTTCGAATAAAACTACAGAGGTGCCTACGCCCTCAACTACTCGCACTCGTCATAGTCGTTCGATTCAACGTATTTCGTAGTCCTGAAGACGGTTACCTTAATCTTGGATTGTGTGAACGGTCCGTTGGATAAACTACTCCCTTTTAGTCTGTGTTTCTCCACCCAAGACCGAATACCAAGCTTGTCGTGTTTTGTTATTTTTGATGATTTGAACACATTGTTGGCCCTTAAAACATCTGTAAATTGCAGAAACAGCTATCTTCATAAAGTTGACTCGATGCCATCCGAAAAAGCGTCTCAACCTTCGTCTGAAACAACCAACGAGATCCGAATCCCGAAGGGTGAACAGGAAATCAGCCAACCTCCTCGACTTGCCGTTTACCTCGTGCCGACAGAATTCCTTAATCGGTGGAGACGTTTTGTGAAAAATCCCCAACCAGAAACGGCACCTGATCATCTACCTTCCGGATTGAATGGAAATGGTGTGCTGTGTGAGCACGGCAAGGTAGGTTGTGCAGTTATTACTTCCTCTTCACTTTCCCCGAACTTCTGGTCTATTTTCATTATGTTTATCTGCTTTCTTCACTTATCCACAGCTTACGCGACCTTGGTGGGAGATGGTTTCAGATTCGATCCTCTCTCCGTTGTCCACGTACGAATGGAATGTGTTTCGTCAATTTTATCCTTCGATCGGCTCCATGGACTGCTCAAATCCACAGATAGACTCTTCTGAATCAGACGAAGATGAAAATACAACAGGTTCGAACGCTCGAATCGCTTTTCCGGACCTGTTTGTGCTGCCTAGTGCAGAAAGCAAAGAGGAATGGTCATTGCGTCCAGCCGACTATGCCAGTGTGTGTACCGAATGCTATGCACAACTGGTGGCCCAGCGAAATAGCTACAAAAACGCCCGAATTCGGGTTCGCCTCGTGTCTGGTTTCGAAGAAGCCTACACTGCATGGTTATTGGACCCGCAATCCGGTGAAGACGTTGTGATAACGGAAACACAGAATGAACCAATAAATCATCTCGAGTCCACCCCGCATCAGCTTGTGACCATAAGCGAACAGGTTGGTTTCGGATTCATACAGAAGTACTTTCCAGTTAATAATATTGAGTTAGTTACACAGTTGGCCAGACGGTATAGCCTTTAACCACCGGCCCAAAGGATGCAGGTTCGAATCTCCTTAGAGCTGCGTGAGATGGGCATTGCTGATGATTGCCAACAAAGGTAAAACAGTTGTACAGTGTATCTCGGTTTTACGCAGTCTTGATTGAACTGATAAGATTCGGAGTTTCATCGGCATTCTTTAGCTAGACAACTCTACTTTCGGTAACAAGCCACTGTCTTTATTTTCACTTAGTAGCAGTGCGTGCTAGCTGAATTTGGCCGGATGCCTGAACAAAAATTGACGCTGTGTGAACTTTACTCATCTCGACTGAATGATACAGTTAATGGTATTCCTAGAGGTGAGCCTATGCCGAGCCACACACGCAACACTACTTAAGTATCTCAGTATGAAACTTCGCTGGACTTCGTCTAGGAAAACGGAAAACCTCAATAAAGTCCCTTCTGTCCTGATTCTAAGCCCTTCTGGTTCTGTTTTTCTAAAACCTTTTTGGCGTGCTTGGCGCAGGCCCTTCGAGCGGTGATCTTCCGGTCCATTTGTTTAGGTTTCTGGATTGGTTTCGGTTCGATCTCATGAGCTGTTAATAAACGTTCTCGTCTTGACCGCTTACCCTCGCTTTGAGTCTGTGTTGTGGTGCAGTGTTACCAATTTATCGCCCTGTCCTTTTCTCAGGTGTGCAGCGACCAAGGAAGCAATAAAATTGATGCCTATAACCTGGTGTCTGTTACGTCACATCACCTTCAGTGACCAGGTTATCTTTTGAGTGGCAAATTCCATCCATCATTTACTTGTTTGTCGGACGCTATCCGACCAGCATTATGGTGGTTTACAGCTTAGCAATTCTCCGTTTTATATCGTGCATTCCAAATGACTAATACGTCACTGTTGTTAGGCCCCTAGAGCGCCAACTCAATTGCCTTCGACGATAGTTTGTCTACAGTCTGTTGCTTGTACCCATCACAACTGCCCCTTGAGATAAAGCCGCCTTATGTGGTCTCCTAAAGTTCCTTTTATTGGTCACCCTCCTTCTACAGTAGACTTCGGCTTAATCATTTCAGGTTTATAATAAGTATCTCATTAGGAGGGTAGCCCTGGCTACAATTTAACCTGTAGTCAGGAGTACGGTTTATCATATTTGCTAGTATAGTATCTCGTAAAGAACATAATTGTGAACGAAATTTCAGTCTTCAGCTTGCCCGCCGAACTAGGAGCGAACCAATGAAAACCATATAAACAAGGTATCTTATGTCACTTGGCTTCAGCGCTGAAGCAATCAACATTATACGCTCATCTAATTAGCCTAGTTCGTGTTTGAATGTGTTGAGGCTGAATAAGTTAAGTAACGTCTTTCCTTTCCTTACTGTCGAGCATTTCTACGCATAAGGCATGTGGTTGTTCGCTGTCAGTTCGGTGGACACGTGAGGTCTGAGCATGACTTAAGAAGGCTCACGGAGGCCTTCTGAATGCTGCTGTAGGCTTTTGCACAATGTTTCGCTTGACCAAACGGTACGGTAGGGTTCCTCGTCAGGACATCAAATGCAATCTTCTCGTTTATGGAGCTAGACAGTAGTCTGGAATAGAAGACGTGCGTCCTACTGGTTTAACCCATGTATCTGACTTCATAATTCCCGCACTGTATTTCGTAGACGTGTTTTGTTTGCTATTCTGGTAGTACGACGCATCTCGGGTGTGTCAGGTGTCTTTCTGGTATGTTGTAAGCAATTTATTCCCTGTCTTCTTTCTCAAATACTACAATGACAGCCCACGCCCCCCCCCCCCACACACACACGCACACATTTTTTCAAACTAATGTACGCGATATCTATTTTAATTGTCTTCCGCCTAAACTATGAAGGACGCTCCGGCCGAGATCTCAAGCAGGCTACCTGAAACAGTCCCTACTGAGCGAACTTTCGATGGGGCGTCACAAGCAGAATCATCCTTCGCTTACCAAAACGCAAAACCCTGTGTTGAAAAGCACATGGGCCGAAGGCGCTCAAAAACGGCGAAGCTTGAACAACCGTTTGTTCGACGATCAAACCGACAGCGACTCAATCCGAACGACACTGTGGTGTATGGGAGCAGTGACGATTCTTTGCAACAAATCAAAGTTCAGTTGATGCAGCTGATTGGAGTCACTCCTTCGGACCAACATTTGTTTTATCGAGTAAGTCTTTAGCATTGAAAAAGTATGGATGCTCACCTTTAACCACTGTCATTGCTTTCAAATCGGAAGTTGACTTGCTTTTTAAGGTGTAGTTTTTCCATGGCACACTACAGAAAGGGTTGGTCGTGGAACAATCCCTCTTGTTTTGTGGTGGCTTGCGGGATACCGTAATCCTACTGACTTTCTGGATGCGGTGTTACACTCAGACCTAACGCAATCGACCTAGGAAATCGATACTTCAAGTGGTGTTGCTGAGCGATGTTTTTCCGTCACGTTCAGGCTGACTGATAGTTTGCAACAGACTTCTGCCGATGTTCCTTCCTCGAGTCAATGTCGGGACCAAGGACTTGAGCAGAACACTACCTCGGCTCCGCGCAAACCGCTTGTGACTGTGCATTTATACTGAAACGTCAATCAGTTCAGCCACTACTGATCGGCAAATCCAGTTCAGATGCCGGTCGTCCACTTACCGGTGGAATATGCGACTTCGATGTTGTTGGCCACGCTGATTCCTTCTGAAGACCCCTCGCCGCCAACATTTCATTCAGTGATTTTGTGAAACAGTGCACATCGCAAAAACTAATCGAAAGTCTTGTCATGCGACCAAAGTCTCCTGCAAATCACATGGACTCGAATTCGTTGGCGTACAATACACAACAACGTGGAATTAGTCCAGTTGATGAAACCTCTGACTAAGTTCCTTCTATTTCAGTGACCATCTCTTTGTCAGTTTGAGTTCAGCTGGGATATTGTGCAGTAATCCTGAGGCTTTTCGTGGACGAGAAATTTGAGCGGTGCGGGGTCTTGAAGCTAAATTTACGGTCGTATATTCTTGGGATAATGCACAACACTTGAAAACCAGAGCTCTGAGCAATTCGTGTCTTACTGGGCATGTTTTATAAATGAAATGCCTGAGTATCGCTCTTCCTCATTCAACCTTTTCTTTGCTATGTCAGGCCGCCTTCGGCGACCGGATCCTGAAATAGATCTGAATTCCCAAATGCCTTCCGTATCAATATTTGTGTTTTAACTCACTGTGTTTTAATTCAGGGTGTGGAGTTATCGGACCACTCAAAGACATTGCAAGATCTAAATGTATATGCAGACAGTCTGTTATTCCTATGGACCGACTCTCCCGTATGGACTGGTGGGGTAGAGAATTCCTCTATGTATAAACCTTCGTCTACCCCAGAATCCACCAGCAAGACAGTGACGCTGCCAAGGAACACAACGTGCAAGCCAAACATAGGTAGGTTGCCTCTTTAAAGGTCTTTGAATTCTTTCCTTTCGATTCCGTCTGAAGTTCCCATGCCTCAACATTCTTTCCGTAACGTCCGATTGTTGAGAACAGAAGTTTCGACTAGCGTCTAAAGCCTTGATATGAAGACAGTCCAATGGAATCGAAGATGAGCACTCATAGGTACCCATACATTAAGACGCTCAACTGGGCCATCGGAATGACAAATGACTGCAAGTGCGCCCAATAAAATCGATAATCAACCATATTTTCCAGCATCCCAGTACATTTGGTGTGGAGCCAGTGGGAAAGGTGATAAACGACTAACCGATTCTATCAACTTAGGGTTGATATATGGTAATTCAGGCAATGTGGTTGAATTTTCGTTGGGACAAACATCCCAATTGCAGTCAAGCTTCAAAACAAAGTCTACAAAGTCCTGCTGTTTGGAGCAGAGCGGTTGATATGCTATGCGATAATAACGCCAGTTCGTTGAAATATCGTTTTTATAGGAAAGCGCCACTCATACTTGTATGGCCCCATCAACGGTTCATTTTAGTGACTGGCTCCTTACGGGAATCTCACTTGGACTTCACGCTTATACAAGATTGTTTTGAAAATACCCATAATTTCCTCTCGTTCAGTTGTAAAACCCTTTCGGTTCCTAACTTCCATACCAATAGAGGGGAGCACGAGGGCTAAAACACTGCCAGGTTGCCCAAGCCTAGGCAGGGGGAGTCGAGAGGCAGAGGTTGGGTTCAAACCACGGACCTTCCGGTTGGTAAATTCGCGCTCTAACCACGAATCTTCCATAATCTTCTCTGGAAGATTCGTTATATAAGGATGAATGCCTCGTCATAATACCGACATCACCTTCATTTTGCTTATTTCGGTCGTTAGATCTCAAGACCGTGCGGTATCACCTCTCAAAAGCAATCTCCTCTGGAGGATAGCCAAAGAGAAGATACATACAAACAAACAAAATTGTCTTGTTTTCTTTCTTTTCCATTAAAATGACTGTCATCGTTTCGTCTTAGATTTTTTCGTTGGGATGTCAGCCAATAGTTGACTTCTGTGTACGTCAGTATAAATCTGTTCATCGTAGATTGAATCATGTTAACCGTGTCCCTGTTGATTTGAACTCGTGCTGTTTTTCGTGCCTTATCCTTATGTGTACGGTTGCGCTGTTGGAAATATGCCACTCCACAAAGGACACATTTCGGCCGCCGAGAAAAACAATTTTGTTTATAGCTTGCATGTTGGCCACTTCGACTATCACTAGCATAGGTCATTTAGGATCGCCTGTCCTGTAGAAGCGTTGCAGAATGCTAGGTGATGTGGGCAACGGTGAAGTGTCCATCTTTCAGTAACACTCAACGACCATGGTCCAAGAACGTGCAATTTCTTGTATCCTTACAAGAACAGTCACTCTCGATAATCGAACCCCACTAGAAACCATACGAAAAGCCAACTCTAGTCCTGAAATTATCGAGGCAGCGCCTCGGAATTGCAGTATGCGAACTGTGATTTTGTTGCGTTTCTCGGTTCGCTGTAGCACCATAACACTTCTTCTTTTCTACGCTATTCACAAACCTTCGTTCTTCTCTTCACCTAGGGCCTGTTGAGCTCGGTTTCAAGGGCACTCGTCTGTTGGAAAACTGAAGTCCTACTGATCTGCCAGATCCCGCGTTTTTTACACCCGGAGCATCCAGTGTACATTATTTTTACTTTCTGTTCGTTTTGTGAATAGGATCCATCATATTTTCAGATGTTATTATGACAGCATTCACTTGCCCCCCAACCCGCTTCCCCCGTCCTCCGATATGACAAAGATTTCACCCATCCTAATGTTTGGTCCCTCCTACTCTCGATCCAGATGTGTCATAATATGCAGACCTATCAAACGTTTCTGTTTTTCTTGAAGCAGTTTTAAGTAAATGTTCGGTTCGTTTTCCCTGTAGCCGGCTTAGTACGACGAGTTGAGGGTAAGAAGCAAGACAGTAAAACGGGACATGGTATCTCGAATCTAACACACTTAATTCGGGTTCTTTAGACTCCGAATTGCTGGTGCGGGCCCCAACGGTCGTTTGTTCACGTGTTGTGTGACGTGTTTGGTTGCATACACTTACACCGCACCAATTAGTGGCGAGGTCATCGCCTACACGAACCTCCTCCTAATTACAAACATGCCAAGCCTTAACAAGCAGTCAACAGCAGCACGGCAGTTAAAATGAACACTTCAAAAAAACAGACGAAGTTACGGCAGTTGTGTGAATTTTTGGGAGCTGCGTCCCACTGTATTTAAGCTGCCGAACGCGACTGGCGCCGCCGATGTATTCATTAAGTAGGTTCATTCTCAGCAAAACTACTCCCACATTCAATATGCCTACCCCGGACAGTACTCACAATACGTGTGCTGTATAATGCGGATCACAGCAATCCCTTTCCTCGACAGAGTACCCCGATTGGAATTCAGCATTTCGGGGGATCATGTGCATGAACACACATCGCTGTACCAGGTAGTGGTACATTCCAGACTCAGCACTAGTACTTTCATAGTCCATAGCTGACACTAATTACGGAAGAAGTTTTGCAAGCTTTGATTTGTACGATTACATTCTAGGAACCTCTATCCCAGTGTTTCAATACGGTCTGTGAAGTAAGCGTACCGAGAGAGGTTAAACCATAAGATAGCACCAAGAGACCCTATTGAAATGCATCTTCGTTCGCTAATTTTATCAACGCAGAGGAATTTTCCGTAAAATTCACTCGATGGGACAACGATATGGCATAGAAAAAGCTGAAGATCTGGACTGGTTAACAACTTATCTCTGAGAAGGATCTTTGAGGGGACGACTGGCTGCACAGATGATTTCCGCTGCGACCGTTTTCGGAAGAATAAACATCCATGGACGAAAAAGTATACTTCTTCGGTTCTGTTGTGGTCATTTAATTCCCCCAGAGGATCGTTCAGCTGTAGCACCCTTTCGGTGCCTACCTGTCATGCCAACGGAAGGAGACACTGCCATGTTGCCCAAGTCTAGATAGGAGCAGTCGAGATGCTACGGTTGAGATCAAACCACAGAACGTCTGGTACGTAAGCTTGCGCCTTAACCACAGCTATCTTGAACCCATAGGGTATACACCATAATGGAAAAGCTTAACACCTTGATGAGCTAATCGGGCGTCCTGCTGTATAGATGTCACGATCATCGCTGATAGACTATCCCACCAGAGCAGTAGGTAGGGTCGGCGTGGTTTGGTTGACAATTCAACATGGCGCCACTTTTCGGAATTCATGAGGTGCAATGCAAATTGAGGATAATGAGACCGGAATACTGAATGAAACGGCATTTGATCACCCATTGTATTCTGATATTGTACAGTCCTCCAGGAAGTTACGGGGCCGACATTCTCTAGAATAACTACAGAAATAATGGTTAGAATGAGGTGCTTTTGGACGACAGGTGATGGGCTTTGCCGGGGGGGGGGGGCGGTTCAAGAAGGCTGTAGGCCTATAAACTTACAGGACTGCCGGAACATAGAACGGCGAATAATTGGTGCGACAAACTATTGAGCCGCACCCTGGAATTTTCTCCTCAGAGCAACAAAGTACGGAGCAAAGGTGACTCGCCATGGTTCTGAATGAGATTTATCACGTGGATGTAGCAGAACATGATCGGCGCATGATGTATGTGAACCTTAATGGTTTGTATGGTCCCGTCCAACCTGACTTGATTACAGTCAGGTGAACGTTCCTAAAGTTTCACGATCCTCAAGAAGTCCAATAAAAGGTCATTGGAGGAAAGATGTGTTCCGATAAAACAGCCCATTGCGCGTTTCGCCATGACTGAACTAAAAAGAATTAGATCACCTGGTATTTAATTCGAGATGCACATACTCCAAACACCACACGGTCCTAACCTCACTTGGACGTTAACGTTACGTCACTAGCCGGATACTGTAATCGGTATTCTTTTAAACTAGCGTATCAGAGCAGCCACTAAATCAGCTTTGTAGTCGTACACAGCATCACTGGATAGCTGGCCACGAAACGTCCGCCGATGGAGAACAAGATATGAGCTACCATGTTGTCCTATTGTGGCAGTGAATAGCGGTACTAACCATTCCAGAAACATGCGCGTGTGCATGTACTAGACTATGATTCGCTCATTTTTCGGGCCCCTGAGGCTTTAAATCCAACTCTAAGCGCATCAAACTTGACCGAACATTGTTGCTTGTCATCACTATTACCCAGTACCTTTAGGAGGCGCAAACAGCTGTGGTAAATCTGGAATACTAGAAAACGGGAACGTATCAAATTCAACACCTCTCAGACCAAATCTAGTCTATGCCTTAGAACTAGCGATAAAGATACGTCATCACTCGCGATGAGAGAAAAACTGGACTGATGGGGAGCGCGTGATGCTTACAGAAATGAGTACGGAAGTGGTTCAGTTTGCCTTATCCGATGGGATAGGCAGACTAACATTATATATTGTCATACTCTTGTGCCGTTATTAACGCCACTTACTATTAATAAGAAAATAAAAGAGGCCTCAAAGACAACGCAGCGATTCACACCTTGTACCTCATTAAGCGCTCACCTTAGTCCTGTCGCATGACATCAGTAGACTAGCTAACTTGCATTCTGAACCTCGACCTGATTGAGAATGCGCAGGTGCACCATAACCAAGGCGTGTGCACTTTTCCTAAAAACGGGTTGTCGCTTTAAAACGGTCAACTAGAAACAACCGTCAAACTATCCTTCAGCTACGCAGTTAGGGAATGACGAATTACGTTATGCAAACTTTAAGTAAAATGACTCCACGGCGCACTGGAGTGGTTACATAGTTTTGCCAGTGCTTCGGTAAACAACCCGAAAGGGAGACCAAGAGACCCCTTGTGGGAGGGGTTCAACTTAGCGGATCAGTTCAGTTTCTAAAGACCACTGTAAGCGTCCACCGCGTTACAGTAGAATGCTTCAGTGAATTACACTCCAGCTAGAGTCGTCTAACTATTTGTGTAAGAACACGAACCGTCCATTGGGACCGATTGTTTGGAACCTTTGGAACGCGGTATGCTATAGAAGCATGGTTATCTAAAAGACAACGAATATTGTGCATGAGCATGATGATACTAGTCGCAATTGAGGCACTAATACCGAAACTACCGGACACCTTGGCCCTGCCTCCTGAAATTTTGTGCCTCAAAATGCGGTCAGAACGATCAAGAAATATTTCCATCAATATCAAGAGAAGTCGAAATTTCCCACTTGGATTATAAGAAAGCTAACCAAGATAATGCTGTTTCCATGAGGACGTTGCAGGAAAGCCATGCGTGCTCATTCCCAGTCAAAACTTAATCTTCATGGCCGCATCAGCACGGCAGCAGGGAATAAAATACACATAGGGCTTTTTACCCCGACCAAAAGCTACCAATAACGAGGCCATCGGATTCGTACGCTCCGATAACCCAGTGCAATGTACCGGCTGAAACTCCTATGCACGAAGTGTGACCATACCACGAAGGCCAAAATAAAGCGAGTCTTCCTAATACGATTGACTGTAAGACGAAGCAGTCTGGAGATAAAGTCATGCCATAGGTACATAAAGGCAGTACAGTGCTTTATCCAGGCATATTATCCGGCATATTCATGTTTCATAAAAATGTGAGATCTGGCAACATTCATCCTTTCCAAAAAGGATGAGACAGTTGTACAGTGCTTCTCGGTTTTCCAGCAAAGATTGGTATGTCATTTGTAACAGACAAACTAAACCGGACTGGACCCGTTATGAAGACCTACGAGGCCATTCTTGCGGTTGTATGAGGTAATTAAAGCGCAGTTAGGTTGACTTAGAGCTGCTGAGGTTCATTTAGGTGACCGGCTTAAACTGGAATCCAGACACAAGCACATCAACGCCTACTGGGGCTATGTAGTGATCACCAGTCGTATTCGTGCAGCGCTAACTCCCGAAACAGCAGTAATCGCTAGGCCACATCGGGCCTTGCGAGTCAACTTCCAACGCATATACGGTAGATCACTATTAGCTTTAGGTAGCGTGGCTTGATTCCTGATCGTCACTCTGAAACATTTTGAAACAGTTATATGGATCCTGATCAAGCGCTTGTTGTCGCTGCTTCCCTTTGTGCTTTTCGAGGATGAGTCCAGGGTAGTGTCCATCTTCTAAATCACAGTGACAATTACAGAGGAATTAGCTTGACCATCGTGAATAAATACTTAGATTCGCTTGTTTTACGTCGTCATAGGAGAGCAGGCGAAGACTTACATACCTGGGTAGTTGTATTAGCTCTAACGGAAGTGTCTGATGAAGTCACGTTGAGAATCTCATAGGCTCGAATCGCGTTTGCTAATTTCGGCCACTAGTGGCATCCAAAAGGCATATCACTAGATTTTAAGGGTCGCGTGTACTAGGCTACAGTAGGGCTGTGTTGTTGATGGGTGCGAGATGTGGCCTCTGCGGACAGATGATGTGAGGCGTCTCCAGGTTTTAGACCACCGATGTCTCAAAAACGTCGCTGATTTTGGAAGGCGTAAGCATTAATAACCAGATGCTTAAAAAACGGGTATTTGGCTGCGCGGCAGGCAGTCCAATCGGGGAAAACATCCAGCGTCAGCGACTACGACGGCTCGTTCATGTGCTACGCATGCCGAAACACTCTACTGAGACGAATGTTGTTCTCCCTACTCCTTCAGAATGACGCAAACCGCGAGGCGGACAACGCATGACTTGGCAGAAAGGGCGTAAAAGAGATCACGAAGAGTTTGGGTGTTGTTGGTGTCGTACGCCTTCAGGATGAGATTCCGTGATCTCACGTGTGCTTGGCTCGAGACATTGTAAGAAATGGCGGCTAATCGATGTCAGTGGCGTTCGTGCTGTCCGCTTCTTTCCAAATTGTCTGATTGAGCGCTTGGAGGTGCATACACTTCGGAACGCTTGACGTAGGTCAGAACTAGGTCTCCTCCCTCACACCCTTTTTCTCTTCTTTCCACTCTAGGTCTTTAAATGTAATTAAACGAACCTTGTGGTTGTATGGCAGTGAAGCAGCAGTGACAATACTGATGTTGCTGTCTTTGATGAGGATCGTGATGATGATTCGAGGATGTCCGACCAGAAACGAGCTGCGTGAATCACATCTCCACAGTCCGACATATGGTACAGCGATGACATGCAATCGAGCACCCTATAGTCTTCGTGTTACTTGACTCAAAGGCTCCGTTCAATTTTACGACAGGTCATGTCCTATAAGTCTATGAATATCGGAAACTATTTCATTTACGTACTTTTGGGCGTGTCGAAGTGCATGGTGACCAATCTAAAATTTCGCTATAAGCAGTGATATCCCACAATGTCGCCCTGTCGCCGTTTTAGTCTAATTTCGCCGGAGCATGCAGAGTCCCCAACCCCAGTGTTCATATCTTTGATCGAGAAACTTGTCGACCTGGAATATGCAGACATTGTTACCAATTTCTGATAAATGGAAGAAAGCGCAAGCTTTCCTGTAAAAAAGTTGACCAAGGTCATCCAGTTCTTCGGCATATGCCACGCGCCCACAAAATACAAGACATGCTGCGAGACGTACAGTCTGAACAAGTCCTAAGAACGCCATGAGATACTGGAAGTTGTGAACCATTACACGCAAGATAGATAATAAAAGATAATCGTCCAGCTGTAACACCCTTTTGGTACCTAGCTGCCATGCCACGCGAAGGAAGCACGAGGGTTGGGATACTGCCAGGTTACCCAAACCTAGACAGAAGGTGAGATGCAGAAGTTGAGTTCGAACCGCAGACCTTCTGGTCAGTAAATTCACGCTCTAACCACTGATCCATCTTGCCCCCAAACACTACGTGTCTAGGAAGTTGCATTAGGTCTGCAGTAGCGCGACAGACAAAGTCAACGAACGAGTCTCAAAAGCCAGCATTGTTTTCGCTAACTTGAGCCCCCTGTTGTAGCAAAATGGCAAAAACTGAGTCTCAAAAATGTCCATACCAGGCTAACATGCGGGCTATATTATCAGACGGCTTCAATACTCGGTCACTTCGGGTGGAGGCTCTGGGGTACCTTCAAGTCCATGACCAGCGAGTTACCATAACTTTGGCCGGAATCGGCTGGAACCAGCGAATTCGAAATGATGTGATACGGTTTTTGATGAAGCAGAGCACTTCTTTCAAAGAATCTATTCAACACGTCTAGCTAGGATGGTTGGGTCAAGTGTAATGCATGCTGAGGCGCCGACTGTCGAGACGACCGCTGTTTTCCATGCCTGGTTCGGAATGAGGGAAACCTAGAGATGGACAGAATGGAATGAATGATGTCACGAAAAGTAGGCGCCGCTCCCCTTCCACGACAGTGTCCGCATGACTCAATTTGTGCTTAGCTGTAGACACTGAACAACGTGGCGGCTAAAGGATGAGTCGCATTCGTGCGGTCATTTTCTGCCCAAGGCGTTTGGCTGAATTGAGACGGTGGATAGCTCTGAATCCCTTTTTTTCATTTCAGTTATAAAACGCTCTCAAATTACACTTTATGGTAGTAGGACACCAGTGATCTCCTGTGTTGATGTAACCGATGCCGGTAATAACGAACCTGCTGTCAGCACTATAAGCTCTTCACGTTGGCAAGCGCTCGATAGGTGGTCCTTCGCAAAGATGATGAAACTGAACGCGTCGCTCTATCTTACTACTAAGATACTGCCATTCTCCTTAACGGATGGGCAGGAGAGACTGTCTTTCTATCGATATAATAAAAAATTGAGGTTCCTGTGGAATCAGTTTGTGCACAAGAGTTTGCGTTCATAGGCAACCCACCCGGTGCTCACAGCTGTGAAAACTGGTCGCCTTGAGCACAAGAACTTCGTACACTGAACACTTTTTTCACTGCTGATATTTAAAGCTCATTATGGACAACCAAAGACCAACCAACGAAAAGCTCAACAGGGTGGTTAGAGATAAAAAAACAAATCGCTTAGCTAAAACACCATTTCGGTGCCTAGCTGCCATGCCACTCGAAGGATGCACGAGGGCTGAGATACTACCAGGTTGCCCAAGCCTGGACAGGGGTCGTCGAGAGGCAGAAGTCCGGTTCGAACCACAGGCCTTCCCGTCAGTAAATTCGCGCTCTAACCACTGAGCCACCTCAATGATTCAGGCTACGGCGATTTCCATGGCCTGGTCACGTGCCCCAAAGGCAAAAAACAAGCTTTACATACCACTGGAGCTGCCGCCTTCAGGGTGGCATGGCTCGAATGGGGAAGTGGCATCGACAGCCATGTTGGCTATGCTGGTCACCTGATTTTTACCGTTTACAGTGCTTGCTGTGTAAAACGTCGCGGTATGCTTGGTTGCCGTGCACATACAAGGGAAAGCTAGTGGGCTAATACAATCTGTTACATACCGCGACGTTTTACCCAGCAAGCACTGTAAACGGTAAAAATCAGGTGACCAGCATAGCCAACATGGCTGTCGATGCCACTTCCCCATTCGAGTACGCGGTTTATGGAGCTTACCGCTGACGGATATATTGTATGCACTAAATCTGGCTATTCAAAAGGCAACTAGATTTTCACCTCCAGGCGTCGTATTTCAGTCGACAACCGCACCATCACTGTTACGCTTTTTGGAACAAGAGAAGACAGCCTAGAAATCCCACACCAACCAACGGAACCAAATAAAACCCCTTCCCACGACGAAATTCAACATGGAACACAAAAGCGCAGGTTCGCAGGATACTCCGGACTCATTATATTGCCCCATCAGATGCGTAATCCAGACTACAAGAACAAATAGGTTTTGAACGCTTCCCAAAGAGAGTGAAGTTGCTAAACGGTTCAAATAAAGGGGCACTCAACTGCCACAACTCCAAGAGCTCTCGAAGCTGCTCAGACACTCTCGGCTCTAACGGCCATCACAGTGTCCACTGAGGAACACTAAGCGTACACCCAATTTGGAGTTGAGACCGTCCTCCCCCCATTCGAAGGGGACTACACCGGCGAAACTATACGTCGTCCGACAATAGTCATGCACAGGGCCCAGCATGTAATCAGGTCAGTCTCTGTTCACAGGATGAATCACACTCATTTACCAGTTTGTTAAATTCTACACCGTCTACCGGTTCGTGTAGATGCAACGCCACCTTTCTAGGTGGGACGGAAAAGAATTACGTCTGAGTGCCTCCGAAAGCGGGAAGGCAGGTGAACCGATCGGTCGCAATGACGCATCAAACTTGTTTTCAACTGCACATACCACGTAAAATATCTGAAGCTGAGCATAGGCCGAAATGGCCCTCTAGAAGCTTGAATCTAGTCTGACAGAACAGTGTCAGCTGTTTTTAAAGGGTGTACAAATGTTTTCATTTCGAAGCACTTTCTGAAGTTTAATCGATGGACAGACGTAAGACGCCACCTTTAAACGAGCCAGGAAATTGGTACCTTAAGTCCCCCAGGTTACGTATTCTAATTTGACGCATAACCGCCACTGACCAAACCATCAAGACAAAATAAAAAGTTTCACAAAATATAATTTGGAATAAATCGTGCAGTTATCATCGATGCGAGGTTATCCGAGCATCTCAGTCAGAATCACATGAATCAATCGTATCAGATGGATTTAACTGTTTCTCCAAAATGTAGGCGGTTTGTGGTTGTACACTTCGGTAGTATCCCTCTACCTGACCAGTGATTTCAAAACCAAAATGCTTGTAGAAAGCGACTGCAACATCGTTCTCAACATGCACATGCAGATAAATGCTTCTGATGCTCCCGTGTTTATGGCAGAATCGCACAACGTGCTTTAACATAACGGTTCCTATCCCCAATCCTCTGTAGGGTGCAAGGCATCCAAGTGTCATGATATAGCACTTTTTAACGACAGAACTCGGTGGGGCAGCTACATCATCAGTTCCAGATCCTTCGGGTTTAACAGAAACATTGTCAACGCGGTAACTGACAGCTCCAACAACAATATCATTGAAATATGCCAAGCGACACATATGACTATTTTTAAGGACATCAGTGTAGAACTTTTCTGTATAGGAAACTGGAAACACAACTTGATTAATCAGCCGAAGTTGTTTGATATTGTGCTGAGTGAGCTGGCCCAACTCAATGCGGTAAAGAGCCGGATCAAGTTTCTTCTTAACACGGAAGGGCACATCTTGAGTGACAGCAGGAGCTACGCTCATGACGGACGCAGTCTAAACTGCGGACGCAGCGTTGGACTAGGGCAAAAGGTTGGTCTTCCAATGACCCCCTTTTTCTGATTGGCTGTTACGCTCATCCAGTTCATCCAAGCGGTTGCAGACAGGGTGCTCAGCATTCGCACAATGGAACTGAAATTCGGAAACCTGCGACATATCCCTAATGGGCTAAGGCAATGAGACAATTAAATTCAGAGGACAAGTATAAACTTTTGAGCCTAATCTAGGCGTCCCGAGGTCTCATCGATGCTGGGAAATTGTTCCACAAGACTTTCGCCAGAGGTATGATTGCCTCAGTGGACAATGTAACTTATTGAAAAAAATGGAGGTAGATTATAATGATTTTATGTTTGAGCACAAATGCAACAAAATGCAACATTTTGGCTGGAAATTTTTCCAATTTTTCTCCAGAGGCTTTCCGGCTAAGAGCATTGTGTGGCTAATGGGCCCCATGATAGACATAGAAGAAAAGAGTGTTTTTAGGACGACTGACTGGATCCAGCCGTGCAGTTGGTCTCCTGTAATGAGTAAACGTGTGTGTCATTGAACTCATATAAGATCACAGGAGTTATTAGGCAGATGAGCTGTCTCTCCCAAGCAAAACCAGAACAATGTGCGACACGCACATCCTCAGCCGCAACGAATACAGTGGCAGACATACACAGTCACCAGAATGAGGCACAATACAATTCCGAGTGCGAACGACATCATGGAAAGAAAAATCTTAGGTTTTGGCCAAAACCCCAGAGGCTGGTTTGTATGTTCCATCACTATGTATGTTCGTCACGGAGCCCTTCGTTCTACATAAACCCAAGAGGCAAGTCACTACGAGTCAAGCGTTAGAGTGGGACTTATGCATCCCGGTTGTATAGCTTCGTCTTGTATACCATTTATTACACCCATCGAAAGCCTGAAGTTGCCGGAGTGGAGCGAATTCAGCGCTTTCATCAAGACAGAATTTGCTGCGTCATCGAGTAGAGAGTCCCTGTATATCATAGCCTCAAAAGAAACTCTTCATCCTTTGTCAATAACAATTCGGTGTCACCACAACTAAAGAGCTGGAATAGTGGAACAGAGATTTCAGGAGCACGGCAAGATGCCTTTGAATGGAAGTGCCTCGACAAAACGTTTGGCTCCTTCCAGTGAATTTTCTCAACTTGAAGGAAGCACTTCAGCGAGGCACATTAAAGATCGATTTGGTTTTTTACTCTTGCGAAATTTGACAATGACTTATCTCGCTACCGAACCTATTTGTGAAGTCTAAACATGTCGTTTGGTTCAATCGTTTGCTTGTGTGTGAAAAAACTCTGTCAGGTTTCATTCCACGTTTGCATTACACCCACCAATTCATACTCATATACCAGATTATAACAGACCACCCGCGAGTACATCTTTCGCTGAACCATAAAAGATGTGGATAAAACGGTCGCCAATTGGGTGTAAAACGTTTAATGCAATGTCACACTTGCCAAGCCTGGTGATACCTTTTGTGTGTGGGCTTGTCGGTTAACAGATAATCCGGGTATTCGAATTGCCAGACACCTTTGTTTGTGAAGGCTGCCTTCAACTTCGGGGCACTATTCGGTCCACATTTGGCTAGACACCAGCGGATAATGGAACCACATCTTCAGTTGATAGTCAGAAAAATCAGTAACAATTTTCCACCATGGTCAAAACACTCAAGGAGAGACTAGGGCTTCTTTCGAAGCCAAACGCAAAAACGAACGGCCAAATTGAATAGAGACCTTTCCAATCTCAACGAATACCTACGGCACTCCACCGTCGGCCCGCTGCGGGTCAATAAGGTGATCCAGATACCTGACCTGCTAGTCTAAACTGCCATGGCGTCACTAGCGACGAAGAGAACGGAAAGATTAGATATTATCACGTAGGACATTCCTCAGAACAAACTGTTTTTTTTAAATAACCGACATAGTTTTCTGCTGCAATTTTGTTTTGCCTGTTCAATAACATCAAACCCGTAAACGGTGTTCGTTTGACCCCGTGCATTATCTTCCCACTGAGTCTATCAGTTCCACAACAGTGACACCGATGAGCCTACTTAGTTTCAGGTTAAACCATATTTTCGGCACAAATCTTGCCCTCTGCTTCCACGCTGAATGCATCATCCATTACGGTGACAATTGAAATTCTCCACGTTGATTCCGTCCCCATTTGTAACCCCAGCCCCAAATTTGTGTTTATTGCATGTATATGAAATGAAGTTTGTTTATCCACAGCATTTCACCCATTTGGCCTTGAGGTCATTCGGCCGTTCGCAACCGAATTTGCGCACTTGTGACTGGGAGCACCTGGGAGCCTGTTTGCTCTTTTGGTTTGTACTTTTTTAGTCCATTTGTCCATTGGTTTTGAACGGGTATCTAAGGTCGAGGTTTGTGTAATTTGTGAATTTGCCTTACTTTAATGTACCATATAGGCTCCGACTTTGTTTTGCCTATCCGGAGGTTCTGGTGTTACGCGTCACTCGAAGATACCGTTTGCCTGTTATACTGAAACATTCCATCTACACCTCTATTCTTGTTTTTTGTGACCCTGGTCATTTTCACAATCACCTAAGGTCACTCATGGCCAGCAACTGTTCTCACTTTTAGTTTATTTCAGTCGGATCTTTCGACTAGTCGTACCTCATGCCCTTTATCCTAGTTCTTTCGGTTTCCACAACTGTGCTGACTTTTCATGTAACAAGCGTACCTCGTTGGCTGTACCTTTGTGTTAATGCCTCAATCGACATGTGCCCTACAATTTCGGAAATGAACCTATAATAAGGTAAGTGCTTGTGCAGAAGCAGGAAATGTGTAAGCGTTTTTTATATGACCTACAAGGAGGAGGGCCTTACCATAAGACACGTCATTTAGGACGCCGTTGATACAGTGTGGGAAAAGGATGGGACTTAATAGGACTCGGTGGATGACTCCACTTCTGATAGATATTGGTTGTGATTGTTTTCCTAGCTGGGTTTTTGTGTCCTGTCAAGCGGGTAGGAGGTGAGACTCAAGTGCCACAGACGGTACAAAGCCAATTCAGCATGAATGCGTGAGGGGTCAGAGCAACAGCTTCTTAAATATATAGGTGAAGTAATATAATCAAGAGTCGGCACAGTGGGTTGCTGCGATGGTCTCAACGAAGTGCAGTTGACAGCTGCAAACGGATGTATGAGGTTTGAACTCGTAGTGCTGGTCGTCCGTGGCATTTGCACTTAGGAGGAGCCTGGTTAATGGGCATTTGACCGTACATCAAAGGGTTCTCATTAAAAGGAGGTATGGTGAATCACTTTGTAGCTGGAATACGTTTTTCTAGGTTCATATTTCGGATGTGGGTTAACTACAAGCTTTTCTACTTGGATAGAACGATCCCAGAGTCTATCAAGTTAGTAAACAGATTTTAGAAAAGGATTTCGACATCTTGACCGCCATGCCTCAGAACATGTGACATCAGCGCGACGGAGTCCTCGAGGGTTTGAAAGAGGGCGGAATCTCCAACAAGGGAGACGGTTACGTTGCTAAGAGACGTTAGGCCCCTCTGGCGGCTATTAGCTGCGGAATGTGCGGCAGATATTTTGGGTTTCAATTTGGGGGGAACGGTAAGTAGAGGCTAGCAAATCGGACGTTCATTTGGTCCCCTATTCTAACAGGATCGGTCATAAGACAACCTTTGTTAGAACGCAAGCAGGTAGTTGGGTAACTTATTTGGGTACAGTGCCCACGAAAGAGTAGGCTGATTAATTTACATTAAGAAGGAGCCGTGAAAGCTATGCTCCATTGGCAGCATTTATGAGAAATTCGCAGTTAATATCGTTTGGTTGAGAGCTTACTCATGAGAAGTAATAATGTGAAATCGTAAGATGTTTGATATTCTCCGCTAGCCGTGGTGTTTTTGTATCTAACTCTTTAGTAAGTTATGGCGGGAGATGCCGGGCTGCTCCTGTAGCCGTGGTGTTTTTGTATCTAACTCTTTAGTAAGTTATGGCGGGAGATGCCGGGCTGAAAACGGTTTATGAGAGAAACAAAGTTAGGAGAGGTCAGTAGATGGTAGATGGGTGTGCATTTGTCGATAGGGAGAACTCATCAAATTCCCGCGGAGCCAGCAGGCGTGAAAAAGCATCCAAAATATCTGTAGCGAGGAACTGAAAGAGGGGAGGAATCGTAGAATCGGTGAGGCTGTAACTGACCGCGCTGCAAGGAACGACAACGTGACAACTTTCTAGGAGGTGTCACAACTGCAACCTTAGGCAGATGACCTAGGTTTGAGAATTTCAGGTTGAAGATATGTAGGCCACGAGTGGGTGACGAACAATTCGGGGCCAACCCTCTACACTAAGTTGGGCAAGCAGCGAGTCGTAACAGGTGGGCCGGTAGTGAAAGATCAGTTGATATCCGGCAATCTGAAATCAACACCGCAATTTTGGACGAATAAGAAACGGTATGTGAAGTGGGGATGAAACGGAACGAGCTGGCAACATAGTCAGTGGAGGAGGTTGGCGGTAGGGATACAACCTACTAGTGAAAATCATTTTGTCTGTTCTTCGGAAATCCATATGGCCTCTGGAATCTTTTTCAAGGAAGAATCATCAACCGGGCTTGCATCAAGTTCTATACTTGGAAAGGTGACAGATCTGCCACTCCACTGGTTCAACCTGTCAGAGAGGTCAATATCATAGCCAGAAATCGAAATGGACCCGTTTAGAGTCCCAACTCAGTTGTTCTCCAGTCAGCATGTAATAACGATAATGGCTCGGAAACTTTTGGCAGTAAACAACAATATTGACTGGCTCTTTGGCAGGCCAATAATTGTGAGTAGGAAGACTTTGGCCTCGATTACGGTGAAGCTTTTACTTGAGGGCATTTGCGTGTTTTGGGGGATTAGTAAGTGGACACGGGGCTACTTGAAACTGCGTTTACTAAGCCTGAGTTCCGAGTCGATGGAGGAGCATTCAGCACTGGTGGGCAAATATTTAGGGGAATAGG